CCTCATTTGAATATGAATAAAAATGAAATCTAAAAAAAATTAACAGGAGGAACAAGCTCTCCTTCCTGAATGCGTCAGCCAAGAACAAAGTCTGTCTGGGAGCTAGCTGAGGCTGTCACGGTGATGTGAGTCACCTGGGTGGGCAGTTCTGCCCTGCTCTACCTCATCAGGGCTCAGCTTCACTACATGCGCCTTCACCTCCAGGGGATATTTCTTCCCACCGATGCACAGCACGTGGTTCTTCGCCTTCAGGATACGCTGGGCCACTGTGTGGGGAAAAACAACAGGCACCAGCATGGCCCCGGCAGGCCGAGAAGCGACATCCCCATGTTACCGGGGCTGAGGATAACGGGGTTACACTCGGGCAGCACCCCAGGGCCCAGTCATTACCTGCCGGTGCCTCAAAGGTGATGAGGGCGTAGGCCGGGGATCCGGGCAGCACCTGCACATCGCTGACCTCCCCGCCACCGTTGCGGGAACGCAGGAAGTGGATAGTTAGCTTGTCGGCCACCCTGTCGGGGGGCAGGTCGCTGGGGATGCCCCACACCTGCACCGTGCAGCCGGCCATGCCAGCGGGGACGGGGCGGCAAACGGGCGGAGGTGACAGGGCCCTACAGCGGCCTACCCGCGGCCCGCGCCTGCTCGGACCTCCCCGGTCTCAGCGGGCCGGGCCGCCTCACACCGGGCCCGTTTCGCCGCTGTTTCTACGACCCGGTTCTGCCCGCCCAGGGCCTCAGCGCCGCGCAGTGCCGCGGCGTCGCCTCGCTACCTGCGGCCCCGAGGCCCCGCCGCTACGCCGGGAAACGAAAGCGAAAGCAGGCGGCCCTCCCCGTCCGGCCGGCACCGCCCCCTGGGCCCGCTCGGTGCGGCGGAACGGCCCGGGCCGGCCTTGTGATTCTTCTGTCCCCTTGCCCGGGCTGGGACGCGGCTTTCCCAGCGGCTCTCCCTCCATTCGTCGTCTCGGCCCTGTCCCAGGCAGTCCCCAGCACGACAGACACAGAGCTCCGTGCAGGCCTCTTTAATTCACACACTGAATTCCCGATGAGCCAGGCTTACAGTGCTGGTCAGGGCTAGCCCATATCCTCCCTGAACACAGCCACTGCCCGGCGCCCAGCTGGGACATAGCCGAGGACGTCCACCTCTCCACCACCACGGCTGTCCTTCTGGAAATGGATCTCCAGCGCATCCCTCATGGGCTCCTCAGCCAGCACATCTGGGATCCCAGAGAGCAGAACGGTCCTGGTGCAGCGGGAGGGCTGCAGCTGGGCACAGAGAAGGAGAGAGCTGCAGACCCCATACTGCATGGCCAGCATGGACTCATGGTCCCCCAGCAGCAGAGGGGACCAGCAACGCACCCCTCAGGCTTTCAGGAGCCCCCAGCCCATGCTGGCTCTCTTGGGGCTGGTGGGTGCTGCTCTGCACCAGAGTGCGTACCCTTACCTGCAAGTTGGTGACATTTCCTCTCATATAGGGTGATATTTTGAGTTTGTATTTTGTTTTCCCAATAGGCACCTGGACCTGCCCTCTAGTGATTAGCTGCTCTGCCACTGGAGATGAAGAAGAAAGCCGTGAGCTCCACAGACCCCTGCTGAACTCATGGTTATGTTTCTGGCATGATCACCAACACTGCTCAGCTCCAGCACAGTCTCCCATTCCTCACAACTCCACCTGCTCTTGGGAGACAACCAGTGCTTCCCAGAGCTGGCTGGGCTGCTTTCCTCCTCCAACAGCCCTGTGCTCAGTGTGTCCCACACACCTCCATCCTGCGTGAAGGTCAGCACCACCTGGCCACAGTCATCCAGGAACTCCCTGCTCTCCACCTCACTGCCTCCATTCTTTGTCTTGCTGAAGAAGAGCTCCAGCTTGTCCAGTAGAATGTCCTCAGGGATGCCCAGGCTGGGCAGTCCGGACACTAGGATACTCCTGCTGCCTCGAGTGAGCCCAATCTGGGGATGGCAGAGGCTTGTTAGTGCTGCAGCAGGGCAAAGCCTGAGGAGATCAGATCTGCAGAATCACAGAATCACCCGGGTTGGAAGGGACCTATAGTACCATGTAGTTCCAACCCCCCTGCCTAGCAGGGCCACCAAACATACACATTCAGATCAGGTTGCCCAGGACCCCGTCCAACCTGGCCTTAAACACATCCAAGGACGGGGCATCCACAACCTCCCTGGGCAGCCTGTTCCAGGGCCTAACCACTCTCCTTGTAAAGAAGTACTGGTGTGCTGGGCTGAGCTGCTACCAGTGACACAGTCCAGGCAGCAGTGGAGAAGAACACAGCCCTGAGGCCTTGGAACATACCTCCAGAGCAGATGGCAGCAGTATGTCCACTGGACCTGCCTGCACTCGCACTTGGCACCGGTCAAGGTCTTCTGGGTCCTCCCCATGGCTCAGCTCCACCACATGCTCTTTCATCTCTATCACCCGCTGGGCCACTGCAAAAGGAAAAGCCCTCAGCCCAGGCAACCAGTAGGAGAGGGCATGGGAGAGCAAAAGCTTTGGGAAAGCGGAACAGCCTTGCACAATGATGGCTTGGCCAGGACAAGCAGTGCTTGTGAGTGCTGTGGCTGTAGCACTGCTGCCAGTGATGCTTGGCAAGCCCAAATGACTCGGACACTTTCCCATAGCAGTGCTCTTTTTACTCTTACCCTCTGCCTTCTCAAAGGTGATGAGAGCTGAGCCCCCTGTCAGAGGATAGCGGATCAGAGGGGTGAGCACCAGCTTGTTCATGTCCTCCTTATCTGTTGCAAGTCCCTTAAACACTACCTTCCTCTCTGGTAAGGCATGCAGCATCTAGGTTAGAGAACACAGCAGCTGGAAGAGACTGCACCCTGCACAAGACCTGTCCTTGCCAACCCAGATGTGAAATAAGCTCATGGCTCAAACCAAACAGCTGGCTAGACTTAGCAGAGTTTCTCCTATGGTCCAGCAGTGCCCAGAGTCTCAAAGCCACTGTTTCTGGCCCTGGCAAAGGAGCCCAAGGCTGAGAAGAGCCAGGCCTAATAACACACAGTGCCCAGCTGCATTCACCAGCAGCCTCTCCACCCTGGCTCACACCCTTTACCTGTGGCCATCAGTGCCTACACATGCTCTGTTACCATCATCGGGTCCTCCCTGAGGATCCTCTTCCTCATTTCTTCCAATTTGTTTTCCAACATCTGCTTCTCCTGTGTCAATCTGCTCTTCTCATCCTGTGCTATAGAGATATCCACCTGGAAGAAAAGAAATAGCAAGCAGTAGGGGAATCAAGACAAAGTTTGGGATTACAGCTGCTCTCTGATCTAAGCAACTCCACCCTTCACCATTTTTCTGCTCGCCATCCTGCACCCTGGCTTTCCACTGCAGCCTTCCTCCACAGCACAAGCTCACTTCCCAACAGAGGCCCCTTGTACAGTTCCACGTAACCACTGTTGCATCCCATCAAAGTTTTCTCAAAGCATTGAGCTGAGCAGCACAGCCAGACTTTCCACTGCTGCCTTGCCTAAGACAACTCCTTCAAGCACGCACTTGGAGGGATACCTTGTCATAATTTGGAGGCTTTTGCTTGAGATTTTTCTGAAGAAGTTCTCTCTCTTTCTTTACGCGTTGTAACCTTTGCTCTACAGCTTCCTTGTCCTTTTGCAGCATCGCGTTGTCTTGATCCAGAGCACTACAAAGATCCTGTGAGAGGAACAGTTAGTGCCTCTGTTAACAATGCAGCGCCCCCACAGCGTGTCCAACCCCAGTACACACTTGTGAGGGCGGGCAGCAGGCTGCTCCCTATGCACAGCCCAGGAACCCAGTCCTGGTACTTCATGACTGCGAGTATCCCCTCTTTACTGTTTCTGGCTTGCACTCAGCAGTTTGGTGCCACACGTATGAGAGAAAAATACAAAACTCAAGAAATCTGCTGGCATCCCAGTGCAGAGAGCTTGCAAGGAGACAGGTTAGCACGTGAAAAACTGCTACCAAAAAGCTGCAAGCACGATGGCTGCAGACTCAGAAGAGCGGCAGCTGCAGCCCAGGAAGCTGTGGGGCTTCTGTGCCGGCTACGATAAAGGCCTCAGAGAACCGGGAGCTGACTCGACTCATCTCTCGGGGACGCGGCCGGAGCAGGACACACCTTGCACTGCTCGATCTCCTGCCGGGTTCGCTCGGGGCTCATCTTCAGGCTGCAGTCCTCCCGGTGTTGGGGGCTGGCTTGCCGCACCAAGTAGTCCTACAGAGCGCGGGGTCAGAGCCGAAGCCTCCGAGCTTCGGCCCTTCCTCTCCTCTCCCCTCCCACCCCGGAGCCCCGCGCGGAGCCGTCACCTCCTCCGAGTCCATGGCGGCAGCTCCGACAGCGAAGAGCGACGGTGCGGCCGGACCCCGCAGCAGCCCGAGCACCACCCAGCCGCAGCTCCTCAAGGCCTGACGCTTTCGCTTTTCCTTCCGCAGAGCGGCCCGGCCCCGCCTCCGTCCCCGCTTGGAGGACGGAGCTCCGTCTCCGCGCAGGCCCAACCTAGGCCTCCCCCAGGTGGAGCAGAGCTGAATAACCGAGCTTTTAGCCCAGTTCCCAGAGAAGATACGGTTACAAGTGCTGCTTAGCCAGTAAGTAATGTAAAACGATAATCAAAAACATAAAAAATCATAAAATCATAAAAAATCAAAATCACAAAAAATCAAAAGCATCCTGGCAGGGGCTCAGTCACTACAATTCTCAGCCAGCTTATCTGGAATTACCTCTCCCATCTGCATTCACCGGTGGGGATTTACCCCAAGACATCTCCAACATACGGGCTGAAATAAAACAAATCATTTCAGCAGCAGTCAGTTGAAAGTGCACCGTGAGGCAATGACGCGCCCAGCAGCGACGCAGACACCGCTCCGTTCACCCACACCTCAGGCTCGCACATCATTCCAGATTTTTCAAAAGCTTATTGGTTTACTTTTTCCCTTTTCCAACTCTTTTATGAACATCCAAAGCAAATCTATACTCCAGTGAAAGGGCTACCAACACAATTTTACATAACATAGCAAGATGGTTTTTAATAAACATTTATTGAAACAGTCCTATTTTAAATTTAGAATCGCAGCTTCTGGAAGAACCACTTATTCTTGCCAGTCTTGTATCTGAAAGAAGAGGAACACCAATTTTAGAGTGTACTTTGTATGAACAGGAAACAGCATAAAACATTCACCCAATCCCTCCCTATCCACCTATAAGGCAAAAAGCAGCACTGTTTACCTACAGGTAATGCAGCTGGTTTCTTCCCCCCGTCTGCCAACTAAACTTTCTAAAAGTTCGAAGTCCCCATGGAAGTGATTATCAGCTTGCAGATTTTCCTCATGAAGTCATATTATGAGGGAGACCCACACTGCAGCAGTTTACACACAGAGCTGCTTCAGATGATGTAGAATGCACCCATTAGCTGCACATAAAGAACTGCCAACATTTAAGTGCAGAGGATATGCATTATATACATGCTTTAAAACACCCAGTTGTTAGAGCTGTCAGCAGGACATCCCTGCTTCTTTGCTGCCGCTGCACAGCTCCTTCCATGGAAGGTACTTCTGAAGTAAGCATTGAAATAAAGTGTTGTCAACAAGGAAAGCTTCTGGGCAAGGTGAGCACTGCCCTGTCATGCTAAGGTCAGTGACACAAATCCAGTGGACATAAGATGGTAAGATGCCAAGTTATCATCATGTCACCTGAACACCTCGCTTGTTTCTGTGAGACAGCAGCAAAGTAACTGTTAACGTGAATCTACTGGAATTTGTAAACAGGAACATGGACAAACTCAACCTACCACACTACTTGGTTGTGGGAAAAAGCACAGCAAGAGAGAAATAATCATTCCAAAAACGTACTTAAAGCAATTTAAGGCAATCAACTAGGGCAACACCATTATCGCACTGAATCCTCCAGAAAGTGAGATACCATCAAGATTATGAGCTTCCAACTCACCTCTCCTCAAACTTCACCTTAGCTTCACGTCTTGCTTTGCGTTTCAGAGCAGGGTCCCTGAACACATCCTTATTGACAACAGTTTTGTCCAGGGGAATATCAACAGAATACCTGGGCAAGAGAGCAGAAAGGTGTGAGACAGTCACTGTATCTGGCATAACGTCATATGTACGTATTGGTACCAGGCTAAAGACCTATAGTACTTAAATCATTTAATTCCAGAAATCACCAGATTAAAGTAATTTAATTCAGCAAATTAAGGGAAAAGGTTCACTTGTGACAACAGACAAGCAACTCCGTACTGCATTTTGTACCTGGCAGCCTGTAAAAGCAGCACTTACAACTGGAAAAGAAAAACATTCCTGGGTGGCAACAGCTGCCAGGAGCACCAAATTATCATAATAGTTTCAGAAGTTTAGCCACTGACATTCCACAATTAACTGAAATTGAACATGTCTGAAATTAAAATCCAGCCGCATCATCTAAGCAGTATGTTGATATTTCACATCAGCTTTACAAACTCTAAGTCACTATTTTCACACAGTGAACCCTGCATACACTCAGCCACACAATGGAGAACCTCTACGATTTACAGCACTTACCAAAGAGAACGTTCAAGAATTACAAACACTGAACGCACACAACGTGTTTCCTTTGGCCTTCCTACCGTCAGACTTTAGTCCTGCTGAAATAACTACACTCACCGGGTGGGCATCAGGTGGTTGTAGTTGTAAACTTTCACAAAAGACTTGATCTTAGACCTCTTTGCTATCTTCTTCTTGCCCATCGCCGCTGTCACCTTCCGCGGGTAGCGATCGATGCCTGCCACCAAGGCATGGCTGTAGGGCCGGTCGGATGTGCCATCGTCGATGTTCTGAAACGCATCCCACACCCGCGCTGAGCCAACCCGTCACAACCGCCCCGAGCTGCGCTGCGTCCAGCCGGGCAACCGAGTACAAACACGGCCCGCGCAGACATCTCTAAACACACCGCCGCCGGCTGCGTTGAGGGCTCCCGGCCTTTCTCCAGGAGCGGCCAGGGCAGCGGCGGGGCCGCCCAGGGCCAACAGCGAGGGCAGCCCTGCAGGAACCCCCCAGCCCCGCACTCACCTTCACGATGACAGCCTTACGCCCCGAGTAGCGGCCGGCGAGCACCAGCACCACCTTCCCCGGCTTCATAAACTTGCCCATCTCTGCAGACACGGCACACGGCAGTCAACAGCGGGCTCCGGCCGTTCCCAGCCCCGCCGTTCCCGCGGATGGAAGCAGATCCCGCAGCCGCCCCAACTCACCAGCACAGCCTCCCCAATGGCGCCGCGGCGGAAAAGGAAACCCCTCCCCCTCCGCCGACCCTTCACCCCGCGCCCTGACGTCACTTCCGCCTCATCCGCACACGCGCAGCGATCCCGCACGTGCCGGGCAGCCGCCCGCCGTTCCGCGGCCGCTCCCCCCGCATCGTCCCCAGCAGCGGCCCGGCGCAGCGCCTTCGATGCCTCCACACGGCAGAGGGTTCTGCCCGGGCCGTCAGTGCAGTGTTGACTAACGCTGCATTGTAAGGCAGCGCTCTTCTCGCAATTTCATTTCAGGATCCCTTGCAGCAGCACAGTCCACGCCCAGCAGGGGAGGTGCTGTTACAGCAGACACAAAAATCCTAACGCCATCAGGAACTGCAGATACGTTACAATGATATTATAAATATTACAAAGCCAAGTGAGCCACTACACCTGCATCACAAGGGCTAATAACCAACGCAAATTAAAACACAGTCACTGGAAATGGATTTTCCCCACACAGACACTAATTAGAGCAGTTTAATACATCTGCTGTGGAATACCACAGCCCTGGTGCTCTGATCTCTGCACAGAAGTTTCAGAAAAGGATCTTCTGGGATGCTTGCAAAGTAATTTGAATGTCAGCTCCCTCATCCAGCAGCCTGAATATTGCTGGTTCAGTGCATACCCAGTTCCTCAGCAGGATTTGCCCCCAGTTCTTACATTCACACTGGGAAAAACAAATCCCTCACCCCTGCGCAGCCACATCAAACATAAGCAACCAAACTCCCACTCCCAAGCAGACATCAGACTGCCTCACTTCTCCTGAGAGGTATCTCAAACTGGCACCATTTAGACCACAGATTTTGAAATAAGCGTGCAGATGCAGCACAACAGCTCAGATGCACTGTGCTCCCGTGGACAGGCTCCGTGGTCAGGACCCTCCTGCACCCATCCAGCACCCGGCACGGCATAAATCTGCTCACCAATTTTGCCATTCAGAACTGCATAAGAAGGGCAGGATAAAGTGCCATACCGCACCCAGCCACCAGCATCAAGATTTTCCTAAAAGCAAGTATTGATTTCAAAGAGCAGAATTCAGTCTTAAGGGAAAAAAAAAAAAAAAAAAAAAAAAAAAAAAAAAAAAAAAGCTAGGCTTCTGGAGATCAACAGCTGCTCACTTGTGAAAAGTGGATGATCTAAAATAAAAATACATCAGAAAGCATCTTTGATGTTCTTCAGCTGCCGGACAGCCAGGTCAACCGGGAGGTTGAACTTCAAGTTGCTCAGACGACTGAGGATATTAAGTGCACTCTCAAAGCCTGTGTTTACCATGTAGCTCCACGGGTGGTAGTGAGATTGCACCAAAGCTCCAGATTTGCAGATCAGGTTTACCCAGGAGACCAAGCGCTGCTCGTTTAGCGCCATACACACTAGAGCTTTCAGTTCAGAGTCTGCACTGCGCTTGAAGGGGTTATGCTCAGTGAGAACTGTATGAACTGCTGTCAGCAGGCTCTGTTTGGGTGTGATGGTGACTCCTCCTGTCACAGGCAAGGCAAAGGACTGGGACAGCTTGCGAGCTGGAGACTCCACAAAGGCCTGTCCATTTTTAGTTTTGTAATACTCCACAAAGAGTTCCCAGGGGTGCATGGTCTGTGGTGAGGAGGTGAATGCAGGAATTAAGCATGCAATGGGTGCCAACACCAGGCTCATCCCTTGAGAAGAGGCACAGAGCCCATGAGCCATCAGATCTCGCAAAGCAATGGTCAGCTCCTTCCGCACAGCCAGAGTCAGTTCATCTCTCCCTCCTAATGAAACATCCTGCAGATCGGAAGAACTGATAACGTGGTCACCCTGCTGGTGTTTCAAAGCTAGCTGCCTCACCCGGTCTACCGACAGCTCCAGTTTCTTAATTAAGGGAGAATAGTCCTTGTTGGCTTGGTCCTTCTGCCAGAGGCTGCGAGGAATTTGACCAGTGGCACAACCAAACTGACTAACAGCAAATATCTGTAGCACAGCAAGCATGCGACGCATGAGGTGCAGGCCTGTTTCTCGCAACTTTTTGGCATCTTCTGGGTTCACTGCTCAGGTTAGAAAAGAAAGTAAAAAAACCACACGTTTTCTCATTAAGGAATCAACATGCTTTTAAGAAGGGCAAAAGAATTGTACACAGACCTTCTGTCAATAAAATTTATAAATAATAGAAATAAAAAAACACTTTAAAAACATGCTAATATACCTGGATGCTAGTTCATGCTCCATGAACATCAAATGAGTGACAGCAATAAAGAGACAAACAAACCTTCATGCCAAGCAGTGCCTACCTCTGTTTCCAGAAGACCAGATATTTGGTTTGTAGGAACCACCACCATCTTTTCTGCCTGCACACTCACAGTGTCCATCTTCCGCCTTACCAGAACCTCCAACTTCATCTAGAACAAGAATTTCACACTTGTGAATTTAGACTGTATATCCCACATATAAAGGTCAGTACTCCCTTAAACCACTCTGCTCCTTGCTTGGCAGTTTGTTTCTATCCACCACCAGCTCTGAACATCCTTTGACATCTGCAGACTCCCTCTTCATAACTATGTCAGAATTATACATCAATTCAATCTACTTGTCTAAAAACTGAGCACTGACCTTGAATGAAGTTGATAAACATTTCAAGGTCCCTTATTTGTGTCTTTAGTTGTTCCACCAACTGTTCCTTCACCCGAGCTGGATTAACAATCTGTGCTATGGCAGTATCCACACGCTGCCGCAGTTCTTCTGGAGAGAGTGTTGCAATATCTTCACTCAAGTTCATGTCCAGCTTCTTGATCAATTCATCTATAATCATCTGCAAAACATCAGTCAGTTGTATCGCTTCAGTATGTGGCACAAGTGTCCACAACCTCCAAGATACTCCACTCACTACCTTGGAAATAGGCTTCTTTGTCACACGATAAAAATCACAACAGACGACAAGACTGCACACATGCATGCAGGCTAACTATTGATACTGTATTACTAATGACTGTGAGCAATACAGAACCTCTGGAGCCTTACCCGTTGCCTTTCCATAACCACAGACTGTGGAAGAGAGTCATAGCTGCCCTCCTGGTATGCAAATGTTTCTAGGTCATCCAGCTGTGTCTTAAGCTGCAAGATCAGCTCTCTTTGCTTTTCCTTCTGGACCTCAATTCGCTCTTGCTTCTCTTGCTCACTCTGACAAAAAAGTTGTCAGTAAATAAAATTAAACATTCACCATTGGAGGCCAGCCCCACAGTACAGGTCTGTGATATGAGGAATGTTTCCAGTTCAAGCAATCAATTGGTGAACATTACAAGTAATTTAAAAAAAAAAAAAAAAAAGGCATGCCTGCACATCAAGGAAAGGTACTGGTCACATCAACTCACATGACAAACAAGAACCTCTGCAGACAAGCTCTATCACACACACATCTGGTATAGTACAACACCGCTGGCCAGAGCAGTGCTGGGCAGCTGTAACAACCACTCCTTACCTCAGATGCCCATCGCAGCAGGGGGAAGGGGAACAGCTGTTGCTAACTGGATTTTAAACAAGTCAGAGAATCACAGCGCTGTCAAGGCTGGAAGACCATCCAGCTCCACCCTCTGCCGCAGGAGGGACATTGCCCAAAGCCCCATTCAACCTGGCCTCAAACAATTCCGAGGACGGGGCAACCCTAGATTCCCTGAGCAGCCTCTGCTAGGCCACTATCCTACGGCCACTACCCTCCGTCCTGGCACCGTCACGCCACAGCTTTCCTACAGGCCTCTTAGGAGAGCCCAGCACACGAGACGCCATCGGCCCCATCAGGGCGCCCGGCCCCACCGCGCCCCGCGCACTCACTGGGCCATCCCCGAGCCCGTGGGCCAGCGGCGCGGGGCAGCCACGGAAGGCGAAGTCCTCAAGGTCGCGGAGCAGTCGCTGCTGCTCAGCCGGGCCGGCCCTGGCCACCTGCCGCAGCCGGAACTGCACCTGCGCGAAGTGCGAGGCCAGCGCCAGCAGCGCCCCGTGCAGGCGGCGCCGCTCAGCCCGCAACCGCGGCACCGACCGCGGCGACCCCGCCGCCGTCTCTTCTTCTTCTTCTTCTTCTTCTTCTTCCTGCTGCTCCACCGTCACAGCGCCCACCGGCGCCCAACGCTCCCCTGGGCCCAGCAGGCCGCTTTCCGGTTCCATTATGGCCGCCACCTACGCCGCACAGCCGCCGCCATCTTCTCGCCGCGGCGCGGGTGGGGCGGGGCAGCGCGGAACCAGGACGCGGCAAGAGGGCGCGGCCCCTGACGCGAGCTGCCAGAGCGCCCCCTTGAGGCTCGGAGGGACCGGGAGGAAAACGACCGGCCCCGTTCCCGGAGGTCCGAAATAGTGCGGGGAGAGCACCGACATGGCGAGGTGAGCGGGCCCGTTCTGCGGGACTGCGCGTGGCGGGGTCCCGGGACAGCGCCCGGTCGAGTCCCAAACACACTGGGGCAACACCCAAAAAAAAGCCTGAGGCAACACCCAAACCAGGCCCCGGGCAGGGCCCCAGGACAGCCGCTGCTGGTGACGGACACGGCAGGGGTGGCCGATCGTGGCCTGCTGCAGCCTGCGGGTGCTGTGCACTTGGGTGTGCTTGCTGCCACCGGCCTCGTGGTGCCTACAGCGCAGCCTGCGAGGGGTCCAACTAGGCTTTGGCCCAAATCTCTGCTCGTGCCTGATGCGCAGTCTGTCTTTGCTGCACTGAAGGTTCTATGGAAGTACCCACAGCCCATGTTTTCCCAGGCAACACGCAAAGACGTTGTGGTATGACCGCCCGCGGTATGTTTTCCTGGAGTTCTGCGTGGAGGACAGCACAGATGTTCAGGTCATCATCGAGGATCACCGATTGGTGTTCAGGTGGGCTATAGGTCTGGAGCTGTGGGGATCTTGGGGGCAGGAGGACCCTGTGTGAGCCAGTGAAGCATATGGTCAGCTCTGTTCTAAACCAGGTATCTGTATTTTGGCAGTTGCAGAAACGCAGATGGAGTAGAATTCTACAATGAGATCAATTTGTATGCCAGAGTGAACTCCAAGGTGAGACTTCTCCCCAGCAAGCCATTCCTTGACAGCCTGCATCATGCTCAGAATCGAACAGAGCCTGTGCTGTCCTGAGCAGTGCAGCTTAGAGTTGGATTCTGTTCATTTTCTGAGAGCCTGAGTGGGTTGAGCACAAGCCTGGAAAACCTGATCCTGAGTCTGTCACATGCAGCACAGTGCTGGGCTGCAAACAACTCTTCTGCATGGTTCTGTGTACCACAGCCCAAGTGTGGCTGAGCTTTGATCCTCTGTGTATCTGCTGTGGATTAGAGAGGAACACAGCAGACAATGAGGGGAAACATCCTCATCTCTTGGCAGGACTCACGAGAGAAGCGCTCTGACCGCTCCATCACGTGCTTTATGAGGAAGTGGAAAGAGAAAGTGGCCTGGCCCCGCATCACCAAGGAAAACATCAAGGTGCATATGGTGCTGGGCAGTAAGGAGAGCCTTTGCGGCTGACTGTACCCAGTACAGTGGCTTTCTGGGTTCCACGTGCCCCCAGGACAGACACCCTGATCCTGATACAGCCACCCCAAAATAGAGCTCTCAGTAAGCAGACACAGGAATGCCTCCTGCTCCCTATCAGCTCACTTAAGTGCTTTGAGGAAGATGTGGCATTCCCATCCTCGATGTGGGTAGGGTCAGGACTGGCCCCTGCAGCCACAGGGACATTCTCCTATGCAGGAGTAGCCCATGCTTGCTCTGTGTGAGGTCAGGGCCACACTGCTTCCTTCCTCAGGGGATACTCTCTGCCCACAGCCAGCCTGGCTCTCCGTTGACTTTGACAACTGGCGAGACTGGGAAGGGGACGAGGAGGTGGAGAGGGCCATGGTGGAGGAGTATGCAGAGGTGAGCCTGGTTTTGTGTGCACAGGTTGCTTGGCACGTTGGGGGACAGCCAGCTGTGTCGTTCCCACAGACCTTTGTTCCCTATCCAGCTCCTGCAGAAGGTGACGGACAAAGCCCCTCCTCCGACCATGGATGACCTGGATGTGAGTAGAGCCTCGGAGTTCTATTCCCCAGGCACTCCAGAAGTCCCTGGCACTCTTCTTGCTCCAGCTGCTGCCCCCTGGGTTGCAGTGTGCTGTGGGGATGCACCTAGGGGCTCCCGGACAGCACCGGGTGGTTGCCGCTGGCCTCCTCCCACCACACTCCTCATCCCTCCGCAGGACGACCTCTGAAGCACGGCTCCACAAAGCAGCGCACAGCAACGAGCCGGGACACGGGCGAAGAAAGCGGAGTACCGAGGGATGACGCCGGTTTGCGGAAGGGAGCGGCGGAGCCCAGTGCACGGCGGCGAGAGCTGCAGGCTCTCCGGGGCCGAGTACGCGCGAGTCAATAAACGCGAAGTGCTGCCGCGATGCGCCACGGCGTGCCGTGAGCTCGGGGATCCGCGGGACGGGAGGGCAGCGCCTTGAGAGGCGGAGCTCCGCCCATCGGCAGCGCGCTCCGAGCCGGGTCCGCCGCTCTGCCAGCCCCGCCCGCCAGCCGCAAGTTCCTCCCTCTGCCGTCCGGCCGCCGTCACTCGCCCTCTCTACGCAGCCCGGGCCTCCGCTATGGTGTTCCATTGCCAGCGGGACAGCTGGGCCCGGCAGGTAGCAGCGGGGCTGGCGGCGCCGCGCGGCCCGGTCCATCCCGGCCCCTCACGGTGCCGCCGCCTCTGCGTTGCAGTTCGCCACGAGGGTGGTGTCGTGCCGGGAGGCCGAGCTGCGGCCCGAGGGCGGCGGGGAGCCGACGCGCGGCTTCCAGGTGGTGCTGGAGGACACGATCCTCTTCCCCGAGGGCGGCGGGCAGGTACGGCCGGGGCCGGGCGAGGAGCGGGGCGGCGCGGCCGGGCCCGGACGACGGCTCTTTGTCTCCGCAGCCCGATGACCGCGGCCTTATCGGCGCCGTCCCGGTGCTGCGCGTCACCCGGCGCGGCGCCCAGGCCGTACACTTCGTGGAGACGGCGCTGGAGCCGGGCAGCGCCGTGCTGCTGTCGTTGGACTGGGAGCGCCGCTTCGATCACATGCAGCAGCATTCGGGTGCGGGGCCGGGCGGGTGAGGAGGGCGGCGCGCGCTTCGTCCCTTCCCGGTTCGCCCGCCAGTTCCCTCCCGCCCCCCCCGGTTGTCCCCACCGTGCTTGTAAGGCGGCTTCGCGGGGCTGGAGGCGACGCGCGGTGCGCCGGAGACGCTCGAAGTGCACCGTGGTGCCCCGGGGTTTCCGCAGGGCCACCCGATGACAGCTGCCCCCCCACCTGCCGCCAGCAGCCTCCCAGCGCCTGGGCCGGGCCCAAACACCGCGGGGAACGTCGGTAGAATAACTGTGCGGTTTGGTGGAGGACCCTTTCCTGCATCCCGAGCTCAAAGCCACTGCTTGCACATCTCTTCCAGGACAGCACCTCATCACTGCCATGGCAGAGCGGATGTTTGGATTCAAAACAACTTCATGGTGAGCTGGAAAAGCAGCCATTAACCTTAGCCTCACCTGGTGTGTGTGCCACCAGGCCAGAAGGGGGTGCACGTTGGTAATGGAAAGCAGCATATGCTGCGATATTTCGCCTAAGCTCAGATGGCCTGGGCTGAAATAAGACAAGCTGTGTAAACTGCTTGCTTTCTCTTGTCCTGTTGCATGGGCATGATTGCATCAGATGCCCTTTAAATAGCAGGGAGAGAAGCATTTGGTTTCAGTCACATTCCCAGTAGCTCCTCTCAGGTGGCACTTGGTGCTGCCTGGAGGGATCTTCCATCTGCTCTTCACAGCAGCAGATGTTCTTCATCTGTGCAGGGAGCTGGGCCGGCAGCAGAGTGTCATTGAGCTGGACACCCCTTCCATGACCACAGAGCAAATGGCAGCGCTGGAGCAGAGCGTGAATGAGAAGATCCGAGAGAGGATACCTGTGACAGTGCGGGAGTTGGCTGCAGATGACTCTGAGATTGAAACAGTAAGTGATGGGAGTGAAGGAAGCTGGCAATACCCATGGGACCAAAGCACTTGCAGCATGGATATTGGTTTGTCTGCCATTCTCCTGCTCTGCTAGGTGAGAAGCCGTGGCTTACCAGGTGACCACACGGGGCCAGTTCGAGTTGTAGACATTGAAGGCATAGACTCCAACATGTGCTGCGGGACTCATGTCTCCAACCTGAGTGACTTGCAGGTAGGGGGCTGCAGCCACGTTACCTCCAGGAGCCCTCAGCACACACATACAGCTCAAGGACAGCAGAAATCCTGGAGGTACAGGGTCTGCTTGAAATTGTCCTGGAGGGAAAATGGGCAGAGGTGACCACCTATGAGGATAAAAGCAAAATACCATTCTCCTTTTCTAACCAGGGTATTTTTCTGTTTAAGGTTATTAAACTTCTTTGCACAGAGAAAGGGAAAAAGAACAAAACCAACTTGGTTTTCCTGGCAGGAAATAGAGTGCTGAAGTCAGTTGAACAAAGTCACCATACTGAGAAGGCCCTGACCTCACTGCTGAAGTAATACCCTTTTCACTTTGGTTCTTTCATCTTTATTTTTCCTTCTGACAAATGTAGCATAAGTCTCAGGTACTTCTACATGATGTTTTTTATTATATATTACCCACTTGAGAGCAGTGATCCAAATTTTCCTTTTTCTTTCAGAAATGGACCAGGTGAGCATGTAGAGGCCGTGAAGAGATTGCAGAGTTCTGTGAAACTGCTTCAGAAGGTAAGAGGTTGGCTGAGGAAAGCAGACTGTCTGCTTCCTGTAGAGCTGACCTCAAATGAGGCGTCCATTTTTATCAAAACTGCTCCCAATTCTGCGAGCACAAATGAGTTCACGCTGGCTTAACCATCTGTGGTGCTGCTTCTTCACTTTTCTTTCAGAATAATTTGAACCTGCTAAGAGACATTGCTGTTTTGATAGCCCGGGATTTCAAAAGCAAACCTGTTCAAAGTCCGCTGTTTGTGTTACACAGGTATGGAGGAGTTCAGGAAAAAGGATAAGAACCCATGGTATATGATTTGTGAGAGCTGCATTTCCTTGACACCTATTCAGGCCTGTTTATGACAGTTATATTTTTAAAAGTCAAAAATTTCTCAAGGACAGCTACAAACAAGGTGGAAAGAACTGTCTGGGCCTGCTGAAAGGTTGTATAGTTAAAGAAATGTGTTAGTAATTCAGTTACTGAATTCCTCTGATGCTGTAGCTAAGAAATGATTGTCTGTCTCATGTCTTTTTGCTCACAGTATTTTCAAATAAAACTGAGGAGCCTGATTTCTTAAACAAATAATTCCTAATATACCCACAAGAAATTATAAAAAGGATTCATATGTATAGAAAGAAAATAATCTGCAGCCTGATTGCAAGAGACCAAAACCTCAGGCACAATCATAGGTTGTGCTTGTAGATCTTACCTTTCAACTTCTCTGATGTTAGTGGAAATGTTATTCTTTAGCAAACAAAATGGAAAACTGAGAAAAGCTAAGCTTGGAGAGTCATTGCCTGCAGTTTGTTATTAATGTTTTGGACTCTGGTGTGGATATGTATACTTTTTTTTTTTTCCTCTGAAGTGGCTTTTTACCTGTCTATGCAGGAAAGAGGGTGACTCTGAGTTTATGAACATCATTGCTAATGAGATTGGGAAAGAGGTGAGTGGTTGATACAGACTAACCTGCCACCAGTGGTGTTGTCATTCAACTTTGTAGCAAGGCTGGATAGGCTTCCATTTGCACCACGGTCACAAGATACAAGTCTCTTTCCTTGCAGAAGAGGTTGTGGTTCCCAGCAGCCTCAGGGTGCTGGGGATCCTCAATAGTCAAAAAATGCAGTAGTGAAAATTCAGAGCAGTGTGGAAGAGCTTATCTCCCAAAAAGCCATGCAGATCCTCTTTGGACATGCTGACTTTGGACAACCTAACTCTGGTACCTGCTCGGTCTCCCACAATGTACAATTCAGTCTGAAAGCTTCAAAAGCTCCCTCCCCTTTTACTCCAAATTGAGTTTCAGTAATGAGCACAAACTTACTACTTGTTTTAATGTCTTAATGGGAAAAGGAGGGCACTGGCCCTTTGGGAGCATCGTCCCTCTCTCCATCTACAGGAAATCCTGCTGTTCCTGACTGTGGGAGATGAAAAAGAAGCAGGACTCTTTCTTCTAGCTGGCCCTGTTGAAGCAGTTGAGAATTTAGGTCCCAGGTACTGTGTTTCATGTTTTCTTTAAAATTAGTGAGACTTCTGCCCAAGCAGCTGAGCAGTGTAATTAGGGCATGGAGCCTTCTTTGCTCACTGAGCATGTAAGGGCAAGCTACTTTCCTCTGCAAGTGAGTGGCCTTCAGCATGTCCTGGCGTTTCTGCAGGGTGGCAGAGCTGCTGGAAGGCAAAGGAGCTGGGAAGCGAGGCCGCTACCAGGGCAAGGCAACCAAGATGAGTCGTCGAGGAGAAGTGCAATCTCTGCTCCAAGAATTCATCAGTCAACAGAGAGATGAAGCATAAAGAAAGAATTTTAAAAGTAGGGCTGTCATCCCTGCTTTGTATGATCTCCACTAAGTTCTCTCTCAGAAAATAAAGACAAAAAAAATCTCATGTAAAATCCCATGTAGTTAGGAAGGACTACTACTCCATGTCTCTCCAGCTTGCCATTTCTGCCAGCAGTCCCCAAGGCTGCTATAACTTCAGCTGCAGAAGCAAAAGGGGCACTGAAGAGCCATGGTCAAAAAACACCTGATATGGGTCTAGGTATTGTTTTTTTCCCTCCTAGAACCAGCATGGCAGGTTTAGTCCAGATGTTCATAATAAACAGAAAAATAGAGACAGACAAATCTCCATCTCAAAGATGTTTATCATGAGTGTATAGGATAGCAGCAGCCTCACATGGTTTCCTCGCTTGCCTGTGTTGCGCTGTCACTCAATGAACAGCAGAGCCCTCTGCCAGCTATTGAGCTGTTTGTGAGTAGCAGGATCAGGCTAAGGGACAAGGCTGTGCAGGCCATCAGCTCCTGTTGTGACACTTTACTGCAGGAGGAGGGGAAGCAGCAGTCCTTTTTCCCGACACGCAGGGTGCCCAGAGGTGCTGGCTGCATCCTTGCCCAGCTAGACTGACAACTTGGCCAACACTGTCCTTTCCCAGTCAGTGGAAACCTGGGAGTTACTAATCTAGGTAAGCTTCCTATTGAAGCTTTTCCTGTAAAAAGCAAGCTTCACAGCTGAACTCTAGATGTTTACAGCCCACTTTGCTTTGGATGGGATTTTAACTTGGGACTCGAATGATTTGCTGTTTGGTCTTTATCACCCTGTGCATGCAGCATTAGACACCATATCTGGGCTGCATGCACCTTGTACGTGCGCTGTCTCTGACAGTTGCCAACATGCACTGATTGCTGTCATGAGCTTTAAGCGTGCTTTGTGGGTTTACGTACTGGAGTCACTCCTATCACAGTCAGCTGTTCTGCTAATGGGGCAGGGTACAGGGGGTGTGGGATTGCCAAGCAGCACTGCACCGGCCCCACACAGACCTGCTGGGTCTTGAAGCTCTACTTGCTGCCCTCAGTAGTGAGATGGCACAGATGTGTTTTCATTGCTGGCATGTGGTGCATACAGGGTCCCTGAACAAAGAGCACAAAAGCAGCTTTGCCTCCCTGCCCTCTGTGCAGTCACTGCTGAACTTCAGTCAGGATACCTCCTTGCACCTTCCCAAGGAGAACTCCTGAGTTCTCCATTACATGCCTGTATGTTCAAGGCAGCAGGAAGACTTGGAGAAGCCTGGTTCTTCCTCTTCCTTGTGCTTCCAGCCATGTCTTGCAGCAGGCAGGAGCAGGACCTGAGAAGGAATATCCTCAGCACCAACAGCTTCCCTGTCCCTGGGGATGGCACTTGGGCACCATCCCCAGACCCACAAGACAGCTGAACTCGCCAATAAAATACATCTTCATCTTTAATAAAATACGCCTTGTTTAGAGACACAGCACTACATGTACGTGCATGTATACACACACATACCCAGAGCTGCTCCACGCAGCAGTGAACAGTGGGCAGTGGTTCTCACTGACAAGCGAGCACTGGGCAGGGGCTGAGGAGCCTTGGGGCTGGGGGCTTCCACGAGCTGGTGCTTATTTCCATCTCCCACCTGTCCCCCTGCAGAGCTGCCTTGCCACAGCCTTTGAGCACCCACAACTGACAGTGCCTTGCTCCTGCTGTCTCTGTCCCTTGTGCCACAGGCACCTGTGGCGCATCTGGCACCGTGGATGCACGCCATGTTGGAGTCAGCCCTTGAAGCTGTAATGGAGAGAAACCAGCACAACCCCCACAATCCCGTGGTTCCTGAGCCAGGGTGGCCACACTGTTACCTGCCCCTAGACACCCTTTTTGTCCTGCGTGGCCAGGAACTGAGAGATGCAGTAGGGGATGAGGCCGACGGTGGCCAGCGGCACAGCTGCGCTCTTGCAGAAGGAAAGGACATAGAAGAGCAGCTGCATGTGCGAGGGCGGCTTGAAGGCATCAAAGAGGTGCAGGACCAGCAGCGAGGCGGCAGCACAGCCTAGGCGGAAGGACAGCTGGTGGCCTTGCTTCCCGCGGCAGCTCTCCAGGTACATGTGGGAACTCAGGGCCAGTCCCAGCCCAAAGAGGATGCCCAGGTTGCGAAGAAGGCTGGCGAAAGGCGTGGTGTCGATGTGGACCCACTCAGGACGGGCACACCACCTCTGTGCCTTCTCCAGAGTCCAGAGCAATTCAACACCAAGCACACGCAGTAGCAGGTAGAAGCCCAAGGCGAAGCTGAAGAGGAAGAAGGTGACGCCCAGATACCTGCGGAGGCTGGCACGGTAGATGGAATGGATGTGCTGGAAGGTCTCAGCCACGGCCATGCCTGCCAGGAGAAGAGGTACTAGCAGTCAGAGCGAGATTAAGAGCGGCTCCAGAGTGCGGTGCAGACCTGACAGTCACTGCTGCACCCTTACGCTCTCAAATTCCTCTTCCCATGCCCCCCAGCCCACATCCAATGGCACGTGGACAAAGGCTCCTTCTCAACAGCAGCAAGTGCAGAGCCACTGTCTGCAGTTCTTGCTTGCGCCTGCTCCTTTCTCGTGCACACAATGGGAGCACAGGGGTGTGCTAAGTTGTTGAAGGGACAGAAACAAAGTGAGCTCACCAGATATGACCCCTGCGATGACCTGATGTGGAAAGTGGGCAGCGATGAAAACACGGGACAGACAGACACAGACCTGAACGGCCCAGAACCCTGTCCACAGCATGATCCACAGAATCCTGCAAGGGGTAAAGAGTTCCATCAGTGCCAAAACTGGCACATGCTGCCAACATGGACTTTGAGTGGTGCCAGAGCATTGTAGTGCTGCTGCCTAAACAGGTCTACCTGCATCCCTTTCATCTCGGGGTCAGGGCTTGCATACACTCACCAGTACTTCAGTGTTTTTGATTGCTTCTTGCCCATGGCGATGGAAAGCAGGGCAGTCACCATGACGTAGTACACTCCTGCTGCACCCATGGCATGGCCGGAGGGGCTCCCTGGGTAAGAAGCAGGCCTTAGGTCAGCCCCCTCAGAGCAGACTGTCCCTGCTACCCTCGTGCCCCAGGGGCTCCCACACTGAGCACCCATTCCTAGCCTGCAGGCAGGTGATACCGTGGCACAGGGAGCACAGAATCACAGAACTGCGGGAGGCAGAAGGGACCTCTGGAGCTCTCCCAGTTCAACCCCCCGACCTCTCCTGGCCCCTCCTAGCAGTGTCCCCAGAGCAGGTTGCACAGGAATGAGTCCCGATGGGTTTGGGTATCTCCAAAGAAGGAGACTCCAGCACGAATCTGGGCAACTGTGCCAGAGTTCCACCACTCTCACATCACAGAAGTTCTTCCTCGCAGTTAGATAGAACTCCCTGTGCCAATGTTCCCTGTTCTGGTGCCGGTCACCACCTAATGGATCCTGGCCTCCTTGCGTCAGATACTGATCATATCCCCTCAATACCTTCTCTTTGCCAAGTGAGCCACAGCAGGGCTCTCAGCATTTCCCCATCACAAGATGATCCAGGTCCCCACCGCCTCTGCAGCCCAGCACAGGCAGAGTTTGTGCTAAATTGCCACATCTGCACACACCAAGGGTAAGAGTCTGCTCTGCACCAGAGCATGGCAGTGGCCCCACAGCTCAGTGATAATGGCTGAGATAACAGCCCTGGCTGTGCCAGCACCACCCCAGCCTAGGATAAGGATTCCTGGTTCCCTGGGCAAAGTGCCAACTGCTTTTGTCAGAGCAGGGGACCCTACCGGGGCCGGTCTCGCAGGTGAGTGGGAACTGCTGGATGGCCGGCGCAGAGGTGTTGCTGTAATAATCAGTTTCATGCACCCACCAGTATGGCCTCTCACCAAACAGGATCCTGAAATGAAAGTAGAAAGGGATCTTTGGTCGTCCTGGGCACCAGAATGGGCTGTGGTTCCAGCTCTGGCTGGGAGCTGGAAGGCGTCAAAATATCACCCAGACAGCACCTGTCCCTGTCCCCATCCCCAAACCCTTAAGAAAAGGAGCAGGAATGCCCTGGGAGCAAGCTGATGTTCTGAGAAGAAGATATGTCTGCTCTTTCCATGCCTTTTCAGGCTATGGGGAGCCATCCTATTGTGCCAGCATAGGCAGAGGCCACCTGTCCCCATCACATGCTTAGAGCATAAGGTGGTACATCAGGACTGGGCACACATCTGCCTATATTAATCCAGCCATGTTGGTGAACCTGCAGCGAGCTGCAGCACAGCGCTACTCACCACTTGAAGACGAGGTTGAGCCAGTCCCCGATCACGGCCACCCAGATAAGCCGGATGCCCACTGGCTCACACAAGTGGAACCAGATAGGGAAAAGAACAAAAAAAGTGTTCCTAAGGTCTGCAGCAAAGGAGATAAAGAGGAACCAATCCTGAGAGCCCTGGAAATGCTCCTGCAGCCAGTGTGTCGCCTGGATGCCTGCATCATGCAGGAGGTTCATGGGGGTTTCCATCCTCCAACACAGCCTCCTGCCTGGTTCAGGCTGTCCCGTGCTCCACCGCAGTTTTATACCCCACGGGTTCGTGTTTGCTGCCGATAGGTCACTTGCCCCAGCACTGATCTTTGGACCCAAACCACTTTTGCTGAAGGGTGCATCACTGGCGGGTTGTTACAAACGTGCTTGGAACAACTTGCAAAAAGGGGAAAAACAGGCTGCAGGGCAGCATAGGGTATGCGCTGTAGGAGCCTTAACCCTTCACTGCCCCATTACTCGGGGGGGATTCTGCAGCCCCTGCTCTGTCTGGCTCCCCCACAAAAAAAAAAAAAAACAAAACCTGATCTGCTAGTGAACCCCAATGTTCACTAGCAGGGGAGAGATTTGAATACCTGCAGAGGGATGGAATAGCATTTATCCTATCCCTCTGTGGATCAGGTTCTGTATAGAGCAGGGGCTGCCCAATACCCTGACCCCCTCTGAAACCTGCACCTGATGACAAAGCACTGTCATCACAGTCTGCCAGGCTGACACAACCAGTGCTCTCTTCAGCAGGAAACTTCCCATGCTGTTTCAGGAGATCCCCAGAGCAAGGCCTGGTGAGGTCTTGGCTGCCAGCAGTGTTTTCCCCAAGATCTGTAGGATTTCAGGACCTGTACAAAACAGGCAGGGAGAGGATCCTAACTAGCACATCCCCAGGTTAATCCTTCCAGCCCTGCCAGCCCTCAGAAATGCAGATGGAGCTGAAGACATCCCTTGTCACACAGGGTCCCTGCCTGTCATCTTTCCACCCCAGCCACGCAGCTCTGACAGATCTATTTTCCTGTTCCTCTCTGGGAGTTAAGGATGAATGGGTAACACAGATCTATCCACAGGATCCTGGAACACTGGGGTCAGCCCAGCAGGACAAATCCAGCTGTCCATCCCTGGCTGCTGCAGGGACACACAGCAGAGCAGCACGAGGCCAGAGCCCCAGGCACACAGCTGTACACACAGCAGGAGCAGACAGCAGAGTGTTAATGATTAGCAGCCAGTGAAAATGTACCACTTATCTCTCACTCCTCTAGAAAGTTCAGGTCAGGAGCCTTGAACTGCTCCATGGTGCAGTTTGACGCAATGCAGAGGCTGTGTCCAGCAGCAGCAGGAGGCACAGGGCAGCATCCTCCCTCTTCCTGCCCCCTGCCTCAAGCGACCACCATGATGTCTTGCAGCTGCCAGGCCCAGGAAGGACCGTTTTTATTGGCAAACACCAATTTATTTAGGGCAGTGAAAATATTTAGAGATCTACCTTGAGGTGCAGAGCAGCAAGAGGCTGGAGATAGCACAGCAGAGCAGCAGCATCACGGGCACTCTGCAATCAGCTGAGTCTTGGTGTCCTGATGAGCTGGGGCTGCTCTGATGCTCCCAGGGAAGTGTGAGCACAGGTAAACCTTGGTGCAGGCTGGCAGGGTCCAGCCCCAGAACATCTGCTCTGTGCTGGCAGGGAAAGCCACGCTTGAGGGAGAGCACAGCATCCTAACTCCCAGCACGCAAAATGGAGCAGAAGTTTGCACAGAAATAGAATTACTCTTGCAAAACTAAATTCCTCAGCAGCTCATTTTGGTGTCCTCAGCTGAGAGCTTTTGTCCAGCACAAAGGAATTCAATGGGCTTGGCTCCCACATCCAATATCTTTTGAAACAGTTAGCAATTAATCCCTCAAAAATTTCGCTGTAGGAAATGGGAGCAAAAGGAACTGGGGGATGGGGACAAGCAGGACAAGCATACTCCAGCCCCTTTGGAAAGAGCCACAACAACAAAATTGGGATTGCACTTAGGAGAGGCCAGGAACTGGAATGGGAACAATGGCTGCCCTACAGTCACAGCCAGATGAGCTGGCAATCCAGGAGCTGCATGCCCTGCAGTGACAGCAGCTGGCTCCAGGACATGGCGTCCCCACGGTTCCCAAGCCACCATGCATGGCCAAGGCACGCGCAGCGCACACTGTCACGCTTGGCTGCCCCTTAGCACCAAGGTTTCATCCAGAAGGTTCTCAGTCCATCGCAGTGCTGGGGCTGGAAACAAGGTCACCACTGCCTGCGTCAGCATGTGGTCAGAGTCCAGGCAGTGCCTGTAAACACACAGGAGTACGTCCCTTCACAGGGAGCGCTGTATCTGTTCCCCTAAGCTCCCGGGACTGATACCCCCAGGCATCATCTGAGCATGCAGTGCAACTAATCCCACCCCAAATCACTTCCCCATGTTGCAGTGCCTCCATTCTGCTGCAATCCGAGGTGCAGGCCATCATGTCACAGCCCCTGGGGAGGGCAAATCCCTTTGCAGCTCCTGGCGACACAGCAGCCAACTGTCTGCTACGTGCCAGGGCTGGAGACAAACCTCACAGAATCCTGGCATACCGCAGCCCCGACCCAGCCCAGTGTAGTGGGGATGGGTTCCACGCTCCTGCAAGCTGGGGCTGTGCAGGCACTGGAGCAAAGGACCCCAAGCTGGGGGGTGAGAACAAGGCTCCAGCCAGCAGCCAAGGCAGAACCAATTAATCCAGCTTGATACAGCTATTACACATTAACTCCTTTGTTTATCCCGTATTTTGCTGCAGAAGGGTCCTGCCATCACACAGGGTTCAAGAGTACAGCCAGTGTACACTCACACGGCCATGCTGGGCATTGTGCCCACCACTGAAACTTTGCCCTCTCTGGCAAATGCCTGCAAACCAATACAGCCTCACAACACCACCAGGGTCCAGGATCTGATCACCAGAAGCCATGCTGACGAGCTATGCAAGAGGTGGGTCAGAAAATGCACTAACGTGCTTCTTTATTGGAGCTAGCTGGGCACCAGGCTGCCATCGTGCAGCATGTTCATCCTGTGCAGCATCCTTATCCCCAGTACTGTTCCCAGCGCTCAGTGCTGCCACAGCAGCTGGCACCCAGCATCACCTGGAGGAGCAGTCACCAAACAGCAAAGCTCCAAGGGCAGCTCCATCACCACAGAGGCACCTGACTACCTCGGTAGGATAGAGCCTCACATCCGTGACCTGAAGGAGGAAGCGAGCAGGGCAGGTCCCAGCCAGCTGGCTGCACTCCCTCCACCACTGGAGGCCCTCCAGGAATGCAGCCCAATGGCTGGACACTGGCTGTCTGTGCCAGCACCTGTCCTCCTCTTTGACCCCATCAGTGCCCACCAAATGGGGAGCCCAGACTGATGTTGACAAAGCCGCCGTATTGGAAGGGTGACAGGCGTGGGGCACAGGTGGCTGCAGGCAGGCAGGCGAGGGGGTTGGCTCCACACACCCCTATCCCCTGCTCGCTGCTGAAATAGATGCTGTCAGGCGAGTACAGCGAGGGGTCCTCGTCAAAGTAGTTGTAGGGCCTCAGGAAAAAGCCGACACTGTTCCCCACAGTCACTGTGTTGGGGATGTCCTCAGCATGAGGAACATGAAGGAACCCCACAGAAATCCACGCGACCAGATCCTAGGACAGAGAGGGGAGACCAGAGCATCTCATCAGCTGCAACGACCGTTCCAGCACTGTTCCCACCCGCTGTGACCATGAAGTCCCAGCCACAAGCAGTCCTATGGAGCTCAGTACTCCCACTCACCTCGTTAGCGATGGTTTCATCATTGATGAAGTCAGCAAAAGTGACAGTGGGTGTCCAAGGGTCATTCTGGTTGTAGACACTGGTGCTGGTGGGTTCCTCCTCCTTCCTCCTGGTGACAGCCAGCTTGTACCTGTTAGAGCAGGAGGCACCGTGACACCAGGCAGGGCACAGAGTGGGTGCAGCACAAGTGGCAGCTCCAGAACTATGGGACTTGCCAGCCCAATGCTTTGACTTTAGGTCTAAATTATGCAACCTCCCCCAGAACACAGGCTGTTAAATTTCACCCTGGCTGCAAGCCAGCACTGCAGTTTTCCAAAACATTTTTCCAAGAGGCATCCTGTCCTTCTGCAGAGGAGTCAAGACCTACAGATACCAATGCAGCCCTTGGGAAAACATGTGATCGTTCTAAATTAAACTCATCTGGGGTCAGATTCCTGCCTGGGAACTACTATGAACAGATGCCATTGAGCAATTTTTCTAGGGACTGTCAGAGACAAGAAGTAGATGAGCTGGTTATTTAACCCTTCCCTGCAGACAGGCTTGTCAGCAGGAGGGGATCAGGCTGGGGATGGGTGGCTGGGAAGCTTCTCAGCACCCGCAGGACGGGTATTAGTGGGTCCCCTTGGTGCAGAACACAGGGCTGCCCACGCACTGCATGCCTAGGCTGCTTGCAGCACAATTGCAGCTTGCGGCTGCAGTCCCCCACCTACCTGCCCCAACTGATGGCTTTCTCCATGGGGCTGCTGGTGGGCAGGTGCTCCCCGGGGAAGCTGACCACCTGCACTCGATAGCTGCGAAGGTGTCCCCAGCGGTTGGGCTTCGGGCCAGTGAAGGAGAGGTAGCGGGGGAGAGAGGCATTGAGGGGGAACGCCGCCTCATTCTCTCTCTCCAGCCTCTCCCGGCGGAGGAACGGCTGCTGCAGGGTGTTCTCTGGGCTCCAGGGGATGCTCACTGTCTGGTACCCCATGTCATGGGACTCCAGTGAGTTCAGCTGCCCTGTGAAGTAAAAGGGAGAATCCCCTTGAATTCCACACCCTGGGTAGGGCTGCATCTCACCAAGAAATGCAGCTAAAGAGCGGCATTTTGAGATACAGAGCATGTCTGTAGGCAAAGCGCTCACCCACCAGGCCAATGGCCTTCTCAAGCCCTGGTGACCGCACAAGATGAGACCTACCATCAATATCCAGGTCTACCTTGTAGTGAATGTGGTGCAGGTGCATCGTCCCCAGTGTGTGTGGCCCAACTCTGTTGCCATAGTCAGTGCCCTGGTCATGGAGGAAGGAAGAACTGATGTAGCCGGTGGCATGGACCCGGACCTCCACTGCCCCATTGCTGTAGAACATGAAGTCCCAGACGTAGTCATAGTTAATGAGTGTGGAGACAGCACGAATAACCAGGATGTTCTTCCGCAGCCCTCCATAGTACAAGGAGTGTGCATCAGAGAAGTGCCGCCGCAGAGGAAGGGAAGTGTCATGCTCAAAAATGCAGAGTGAATTCTGGTTGGTTCTGGGGACATCTGACTCGGACAGGTAGTGCCGATCCACATAGGTGGCCATGTAGGGACAGTCAACACCCCTGACCAGCTCGTAGGCAAATCTGCCGATGCCAAAACTGCCATCGAGGTAGCGGGTGGACATACCCCCAGGGCAGTTGGAGCCATACAGAGCTAAGGCTTCCTGCAGGCTCAGCTCATAGATTATTCTTTCCCCGCGGAAACGGATGTCGAAGAGCCGTGGGCCAGTGTTGGGGTTCATGCCAAAAGCAATGCTCCAGCCGTGGTAGGTGACACGGTTGTCCCTGACGCTGTACCGCGGCCCCTGGGGCTCAAACTGAAGTGGCCCCGGAGCACCAGGTGAGCGGAGGGGTCTCATGGAGCCCAGCACCGTGTCTTCCTGGGGCTTCTGAACCACAATCACCTTCAGCGACTTGGTCACAAATGCATTCTCCAGCTCAGCGGTGCTGGGGAAGTAGCGTCCATTGTAGAATATCTGGCGCAGGTACCACTGGGAGACATCGAGCGGCCCATGCTCCACCAGCACCTCCAGCCCCACAGGCAGGACGAAGTAACCACTGCCAGCAACGCCATGGAAGAGGACAAACCACGTGGTGCGGTCTCCGGACTTGAGGCCACGGGGTGCAGTAGTGATAGTGGCCAGGTCGGTTCCATCAGATGCACAGCATGCAGCGAGGAAGCGTGGTGCCTTCCTCAGCTCCTTCTGGATGAGCTCGTTGATGGCTGCATACTCCACACCAGTGACAGCTCTGCGGTGGTACGGCACCTTCCCCCCGTACTTCTGCACCGTGACGTCCCGGTGGTATTTCGGTGCCGGCAGTGGGCCCACCACGTACTCGGTGACGTTGGGCTCTGCCTGGGCCCCAAAGTACAGCACAGCCAGCGCCTCGCGGGGCGGGGGAGCCCCTCCGGCATCCAGGAACCGCAGCACTTCTGCCTTGGCCGGAAGCTGCACGTCCACGGAGGCAATGCAGTTGTCAGAAGGTTTGGCACGCGCTGCATCAGCCAGCGGCACCCCGAGGCTGACCCGCAGGTACTGCACCACCTGGGCCAGCTCCTCGGCTGTCAGGTCGGCAAAGACCCGGCTGTGGCCGTCGTCCGCTTCCTCCTGTGCCAAGGGCTGCTGCTGGCAGGAGCTGGGGGCCCGTGCCCGGGTCAGCAGCACGCAGACGAGGGCAAAGATTGTGGCCAGGGCCAGGAGGAGCAGCACAACCACGGTTTTCATGTTCATGGCTGCTGCTGGTTTCGAGGCTTTTTGAGTCGCTGCTTCTCCCAGCTTGGATTTGGTGGGCTGGGCGTTTTTTCTCTCTTGTCTTCTGAAGAGAGGATGGCCTGGATGAGCTCATAGGGAGGGCACATCGCAGTCCTCTCAGACGTGCCTGGATTTGCTGGAAGCCATAAAAGGCAACTCTGCTCTACTTCCTCCAGCAGACCACAGTTTTAAACGAACTCTCTGCTCCCGTCCTTCCCTGTTTGTCCCACAGGCTTCGCTGCGGCACAAGGAGGACGCAGGCGGACAGCGGGGAGAAAGGAGTGTGCCGCCGGCACTGCCTTCTCCTCGCACTCCGTGCGCTGAACACTGTGCCCCAGGACCCCCCAGCAGCCATTGCTGGAAGCATAAAACAAGACAGGCAGAATAGCACTGGATTTTTTTCTTTTTTCTTTTTTTTTTTTTTTTTAACCTGACATTAGCACTACACAGCATTTGTTGCTACAACAGAGGAAGAGCATGTTCTCCTCACTTTTACCCCTGGCATGCAGCAGTTAGCAGAGACTCTGCAGATCTCTTCTGGGCAGCATGCTTCACTCATACAGATCACTACATTATAAAAGCCACAATAAAAAGTAAAGTTGTTACAGAACTGCAAACAAAGAAAATGCCACTAAAAGAAATGAATATCCATGGGAGATCAGTCAGCCTCTAATCCTGCTTCCTGGACCTTTAAAGCCTGCTGATATTTTGGAATCCGTCATAGGTGAATGGGGGGAAGCTTGGCAAGCAGGAGGCAGTTTGGGACAGGCAGGTGATGGGGTTAACCTCACATGCCATGAAGTTCTGCTCGCTGGTGAAAAACACGCCATCGGGTGAGTAAATGGAGGGGTCCAAGTCGTAGTAGTTGTAGGGTCTCAGGAGAAAACCAACTGAATTTCCCACCGTCAAGGTGTTGGGAATATCTTCTGAGTGAGGGATATGGAGGAAACCAGCAGTTATCCAGGCCACAAGATCCTAGGCAGGAGGAGGTACATGAGTGCTGTTATTTTTGACTGAAATCTGCCTGGGGCACAGGAGAACAGAGGGTACCTCAGTGGGCACCCACAGCCCATGTTCCTACAGCCCAGCAACGCTCCAACCCACTCTCCTCATGCTTTGCTGCTGTCCCAGTGGATCCCATGAGCAATGTGTGAGGTGGTGTGGCCGGCACCAGCAGCCCATGCCTCCAGCCCCTCCTCACCTCATTGGTGATAGTTTCATTATTGATGTAGTCAGCAAAAGCGACAGTGGGGGTCCAAGGGTCGTTCTGGTTGTAGACACTGGTGCTGGTGGGTTCTTCCTCCTTCCGCCTGGTGACAGCCAGCTTGTACCTGGGGACAAGGACAGAGACAGGACCCTGGGGGCAGGGCAGAGCTAAAGGTTGCTCCCTGGAGCCTGCAGATTACCAGGCTGGTCCTATGGAGTAACCAAAGTACCGGACTGCATCAAACCCCCTCCCTCCCCACAGGAAGCATCCCTGCAGCACCGCTTCAGCCAGTGAGGCTGGAGGCATTGCAGAGTACTCAGTAACCCCATCAGAGCAGTCTGACCTTGCCCAGCTGATGGCCCTTTCCATGGAGCTGGCTTCAGGAATGTGATCCCCTGCAAAGCTGATGATTTGAATCCTGTAGCCACGTCGGTGGCCCCACTTGTTTTTTTTGTTGGTTGCAAAGTAGATGTATCTGGGCATCGTGGAGTGGAGCCGGAAGGCAGCCTGGTTCTCTGTGTCCAGGGCCTTCTCAGTGAGCCGTGGACGCTCAATCTGCTGCTCTGGGTTCCAGGGAGCCTGTGCCACCTCAAATGCCATGTCATGGGCCACCAAAGAGTTCTTCACCTCTAGGAGGACAAAGCAAAGCAGCTGAGAACTTTCCTGCAGTCAGATCCCACTCTCTCCATTGACCCTTCCTGCACCCCAGGCTCCAATCACCACTACCTGCAGACAAGAGTAACTATTGCTCCCTGGTTCTACTGCGCAATGGCATGCCATGCTCTGTAATGCAAGTTTGTTTAGCCGGTGAAACACAGCACTGTGTCATATGGTGCCATTCCTGTGCACTCTCGTCCTTGATGAGAGAACAGAAAAGGAACCTCTCCAAGGACAGAAGAACCGGTATGAGCCCTGTCTGATTAACCCAAGCACCTGACAGCCCAAGCACCGTGTTTCTGCTCACCAGAATGCATCCTGCAAGGCTGCACCAGATAGAGCATGGGCTCTGAGCACATCTGCACATTACAAAAATGGAGCAGCTCTGGTCTTTCCACAAAGATGATACAACAGCCAAGGGCTCACAGCAACAGGAGATGCACAAGAGCAAAGAAATCTAGTGATAGGATGGCCAAGAGATGATGAAGAACCCCAGCAGCAAACTTCTGCCAGCCTCCAGCACCTGCAAGGTTTGACCAGAGCTTTGGGACCAAGCCCCAGCATTGCAGGTGAAGTCAGCATGAGAGCCTGAGACCTATAAAAATGGACCCATGCAGCCACTGTTGTGCTTCTTCTCATCTTTTTTGTGACGTGGACAAAAACTTCCAATTCCATACCTCCCCTTCCAGTGACAGTTTGAGATTCCACCTGTCTTTTTCCTATTTCTTTCATTTTGCAATCCCTCCTTTTTTTTTTTTTTTTTTCCCCTCCTCCACTCCAGAAGGACTCTAAAATCATCCTAAAAGGAGTAGTTATTAAGTTTCTAGGCATTTCTCAATGAGAAACAAACAAATTTAAAATACATGGTGGTAGTTTACAGCATATGAAATGTCAACAGGAGCACAAGGATGGATTGAAACAGAAGTTGTAGAGGAAAAAAACAACCTTAACGCTCTCTATGAGAGCACATCACCTACCCCACATGTGGGAAGAAAAACTAGTGGGGGAGTCTGAAAGAACGCATAGAGAGCCCGAAAGAGACAAAACCCAGACCTACCCCCCACATCCAAATGTACTTTAAAGTTGACAGGACAAGTGCGTATTGTAGCCAGAATCCTAAATCCTACTGCTGTACCATCTCCATGGAAAAAGGAGGAGCTCATATACCCCGTGACCTGGAATTTGGCTTTGACAGTTCTGTTCTGGTAGAAGATGAAGTCTCACAGCTCCATATTGGTTTTCTGCCACCACATTAATTCAGATCCTTCTGTTTCCTGTCTCACTTCCAGCCCCTCTTCTCTGAAGGCCTTGCAGCAGGCCTTGTGTAGGGGATGCTATGCTCATGCAGCAGGACAGGGGGTAGGAGAACCCCTCAGGCACCCTGCATTGCCTCTAGTCCTGGTACTCAGCTCAGCATAAACACTTCCTTTCCCCTGCTTGGGCCTTGACATAACTCTTCTCCACTGCTCTTGCTCCAAGGTGTGCTCCAGGTGTGCAAACAAAGCAGGGAATGCAGAGATACAGCAGCCACATAAATGGACCTTTAGCTGCTTTAGTGTATAACCAAGATGTTATAGTCACAATATAATTGTGTATAATCAATAGATATCAAGATGTTATAATTGCAATATAATCAAGAGAGTAAGGCAAAGCAGACAACGATCACAAAAAGAGAATAAGTGGAAGAGCTTACCCTTGGGTTGAGCTCACCAGAAGATACCAAAGAGGGGATCTCCAGAAGAGATCCTTCCCATCTGGTAGCCAGCTCTTAAATAGGTCTAGGAGGGCTGGAGCCTGGCTCCACCCCTTCCGGCAGCACAGGTGAATCGCCTTCACCTGTGCTCCTCTGGCTGACTCAAGGCTCACCTCAGGTGATCAATCAGAGGTTCAGGCCGTGACTCAGCAGTTCCCATACATTTAGCATGCTCTCAAGCCTTGTTCACAGGAAGGGGATCAGATTCAGCTCTGTTTTTGACCGTGATGCCGAAAAGCAGCATTACTCAAGGCTACATGAAGCAGGAGTCATGGAGCTGCACTGCTGCTGGGCTTGGGCACAGGCAGCCCACAACCTCCCGATGGATCCTGCTGGTTCTCTGAATATGTAAAACATTTCCCACCCCTTTTACAGGAGCAGGTTTCAATAGAAAATATCCCACACCACCGGCTGGTGCCCTCTGCTCCAGTGCAGCCCCAATGCCTTCCTGACTTGCAGAATCTGGATCAGCCTGGGAGGGAAAATAAACCCAATGTGCTCAGCCCGTATGCACTGCAGGGCAGCACTCAGCCCTTCCCTGCAGCAGAGAGCCGCTCCCACAGGAACCCATGCCCCCACATGCAGGAGCAAGGAATACTCTGGTTCCTCGCAATAGCTGATGAGACACAGGCTCAGGATCTAGCTACACAGATTTCCTTGAAAGGGATGGAAGGACAGATGTGCAGATGGTCAGCGCTGCACACCACACAGGAGAGCACGGATTTCCCCAAGGCATGAGAGGATGCCACGAATAGCACCAGGCATTGCGGGAGCCAGCTCACACCTCTTGTGCTGCAGACAGGGCTGTGCCTGCCCCGTCTGCTCGGCCACGCTTTTGGCAACATGCACCGCGCCAGACATGGGGCCTCAAGGAAACACAGATGTTTTGCAGCTGCTACTTTTCATACTTTCCCTAGGATGAATACAGAGCTCCCAGAAAATTTCCTCTGCCTGTAACTCCATTACCTGGACAGACAACTACACACACAGAAAAAGAATTTCGCAATTAAAGGTTGGGAGACAGAAAAAGCAGAGATCTGACAGCAACTGCAAGGGACTCCAGAGACCAGAATCCCCCCCGAGACATTCTCCATTATAATGGCATAAATGAAAGGGAGGTAAGACCTACCTCCCACATCCAAGTCCACTTTATAGTTGACAAAATGGGTGTGAATTGTACCCAAGGTATGCTCCCAAACTCTATTGCCATACTGCAGACCATTCCCATGGAAAAAGGATGAGCTCGTGTACCCTGTGGCCTGGACTTTGCCTTCGATAGCCCCGTTCTGGTAGAAGATGAAGTCCCAGACATAGTCGTAGTTACCCACAGTGGTGATGGATCTAAGGACCAGCGCGGAGTTGACCATCCCACCATAGTATGACGATTGTAGGTTGGAGTAATGGCGCCGCAGAGGGGAGCCCAGGTTCTGCTCGAAAATGCAGAGGGCCGCCGTCCTCCTGCTGTAGCTCAAGCCCTCATGCAGGGTGTGTGTGTCCACATAGGTGGCCGTGTATGGGCAGTCGACCCCACGCACCAGGGGTGAGGAGTAGCGCCCAATGCCAAAGCTGCTGTCCATGTAGCGGGTGGACATCCCGCCAGGGCAGTTGGAGCCATACACTGACATTGCCTCCTGCACACTCATCTCGTACACAACCCTCTCCCCATTGTACCGGATGTCAAACAGGCGCATGCCCGTCATCACACTCATTCCAAAGGCAAAGCTCCAGGCCTGGAAGATGATGAGGTTGTTCCTGATGCTGTACCGCGGCCCCTGGGGCTCATACTGCAAGGGGAACGTCGCGGTCACCGGTGCTCGGGGCCTCATAGACGAGAAGTCCCCATCCCACGGTGCTCTTTTCACCTTCTCCACATGGACACCACCCTGCACATAGATTCTCTCCAGCTCAGACATGTCCCTGTAGTATTGGCCGTTGTAGAAGACTCTGTGGACTGCCCACTGTGTGAGATCCAGGCTGCTGTGGTCCACCAGCACCTCCAGCCCCATTGGGTGCAGGAAGAACCCACTCACATTCTGAAACATGACAAACCAGGTGAGCCGATCTCCAGACCGGGATCCACGGGGAGCAGCTGTCACAGCAGCCAGGTTGGCCCCATCATACTCCATCACTTGGTCCATGAAGGATGGAGCTGCAGGGAACACCTGTTTTTTAAAAAAATCAGCAACCTGTTTGTATTCAGCAGGCAATGCTGGTCTGCGGTGGTACGGCACCTTCCCCCCGTACTTCTGCACCGTGACGTCCCGGTGGTATTTCGGTGCCGGCAGTGGGCCCACCACGTACTCGGTGACGTTGGGCTCTGCCTGGGCCCCAAAGTACAGCACAGCCAGCGCCTCGCGGGGCGGGGGAGCCCCTCCGGCATCCAGGAACCGCAGCACTTCTGCCTTGGCCGGAAGCTGCACGTCCACGGAGGCAATGCAGTTGTCAGAAGGTTTGGCACGCGCTGCATCAGCCAGCGGCACCCCGAGGCTGACCCGCAGGTACTGCACCACCTGGGCCAGCTCCTCGGCTGTCAGGTCGGCAAAGACCCGGCTGTGGCCGTCGTCCGCTTCCTCCTGTGCCAAGGGCTGCTGCTGGCAGGAGCTGGGGGCCCGTGCCCGGGTCAGCAGCACGCAGACGAGGGCAAAGATTGTGGCCAGGGCCAGGAGGAGCAGCACAACCACGGTTTTCATGTTCATGGCTGCTGCTGGTTTCGAGGCTTTTTGAGTCGCTTTTGGAGCAGGGCTTCTGCTGCTGCTTCTGCCAGTTTATGCTGCAGTGGATGGAGTAGCAAGGAAAGTACAAAAGACTGGGAGAGGCTAGGGGAGGAGATCTGAAGTTAGTGGTGAGCAGAAAGAGCAGCTCTCACTCACTGCATCCTACTCTGCCTTCTTCCAAGAGCTGCTGCCCTGAGAGAACCACGGGGGATGCAGTCAGTGACTCAGACAAACTTCACATCACTGTTACTTTTCCAGTCCTGCCCAGTTTCCTGAGGCTGTAATAACGACAATCCTGTAGTCATACCAAGGTGGTTGGGACCACAGTGAGGCTCTCACAGACTGGGAACTGTTGCCACACTGTAGAATTTCACCTCTTTGCAACTTGTCAAATTTCCTTGTTTATCAGGCTGCTTCCTTGCAAACACTCTCCCTGGCAGCATGATTTCAAACTTGGGAGTTACTTTTTATTTTAGTTTTTAAAATCTTCTACGTGGAAGCCTTTGTGAAAACACATCCACCTGTGTAGTAGTAAAAAAAAAACTTTGGCAGGCATAGAGAGCTGGAGTTTAGGGCGATATACTGGCCCCGGTGCAGCATGAACAACTAGCTCTTAGTTTGCATCTCTGAGTATTCATTAACTAATTAATCCCCATCATTCCACTGGAACAAGTTCAAGTAAGTTTTGCCTCTGCCTCAAATTCTAAGGTAAACTGCGGTGCAGCTTCAGAGAAGTTCCCTCAAGGACAGCCTTTGATCTGTGGCATCCACACAGGCAGCGCCAGCAGCCCCCTGCTGTCCCACTGCACAGGCTGAGCAGCCACCTCCAGTGTGTCTCCCAAAGGCTGTGACAGCTCCCTCAGCCATTGCCCCCCAAAGTCTCTGCTGTTCTCACAGCATCACCGAGCAGGACGGGGGGTTCTTTGCTGCCACACAGCAAACACCAGAGACAGACAAGACACACTGCTTCAGTTGCAGTCCCTGCCTGTCCCTGAGCTGGTGCTGAGAAATACAAGCAATCCAAGAGAACCACAGCTGGAGGTTGAACCCAACATTTCCATTCCTGCTGCCAGCCTCACCTCACCTCACCCTGGCCTTCCCTTTTTCCTCCAGAGTTTCCCAGTGGCAGGCTATCCCAGCCTGCAGCACCATTTAATCTTCCTCCTCTGCTCCGGGTCTTGCCCTAGACTCAGCCTTTCCTGAGCCACACTTACCAGACATAGCACTAGCAGGCAGCTAGATGGTTTTAGGACACCCTACATTATCTTCACCACAGTGGACAGCTGTCAACCTTCTTTAACCTCAGCTGCAGCCATGCAGGCAGAGTCGCTTCATGCAAGCAGGAGTCCCTTCTGCTCACTGCCTGTTGCACCAGTAAAGCCACAGTAGTCATCTCATGTAGCTGCTGACCAGAAGAGGAGAACCCTGTGACAAAGATGCAAGTAGTGGGAAGAGACAGGACCTATGATAAAAGAGCTTTGGCAATACAGGCTGTAATATCTACAGGTTTTAGAGGTACCCTGTCCCATCAGCTTTCCACTGATCTCTAACAGCACAATCAGATGCCTGAATAGCCCTAGATTAAGTAAAAGTAGTGCTGAATTCCAAGATAGTATTCCAGCTATGAAGTCAACAAGGCTTTAAGGGTTACTTTGCGTTGGGTCCCAAGGAGAAAGTCCCTTTGGTGTAAAGCCTAGAACACAGTACTCCATTTCACTTAGAGTGCAGAGAGGAAGTGCTTTTGTACTGCTGAAGGTTGGGAACAGAGTCAAGACATACCTCCTGCCTCCAGGAATTTAACTGGCCTCTGCTGCAGCACACCTCTGCACAGCTGGGCTGAGCCTGCTGCACAAACCACATCTACCTTTACATTTCCCTGTAGCAAAAATAGCAGGTAATTTAGTTTCAACTTTGCCTATTGGTGCTGCATCTCATGTCCCTAAAAGCCAAAGCACAAGCTGCAATTAGATTGTCATTTTTTAAGCAGCAGTAATTTAAGAGAACTGGATAAACTTCACAGGCCTTACACTGCCCCACAAATGACAACTCAACCCTGCAGCTTGTCTGTCAGATGTCTGAAAATACAGTGTGGGAACACTTCTGTGCACGTTGGGGATTTGGAATGCAACAAAAGAACAGAAGCCCCAGTCAAATGATGTCCACATGATGAACAAATCCACAGCACACACCCTGGGTCCGCTCAATTAGTTGGCAATAACTGATCTCTGTGCTGCCTCTGTCCTGCTGCAGGGTACGTGCCAAGGCTGTCATGTCTAATATCATGTGTCATTTAATGATGCCCATTTCTGCTGTACCTTTCAAGCTGAAGACTTTTACAGTTTGTAACAAGAATCAGCCTGTATTTTCTGGGAGTTCTGTTCCAGAACAAATACAAGAACTAAATCCATTGCTATCCTTCAGCAGACATTTCAGGAAGCAGGGCAATTATTTGAGTCTGAAGAGATGAGAAACCCTTATCAACATGCAAGTGATAAAAATGTTGAGGGACTCTTAAGTATAACACAATACCACAGGAACAGCATCTTCTCCAAAAGGACCCTGAAGCAACTTAAAGCTAGCCTAGAATTTTGAAGATGACACATCTCACTAATAGCAGCATGACTTGTTTATGAGCTGCGTGGTACAAAAAAAAAACCAACTGTCCACAGCTCATTTCCCCAGTCTAATTAGCCCATGACTCTTCCCTACCTAACATGGAGAATTCACATCATACCAGTTTATTTTGACTATGTGGTTGCTTTTAGGCACTGCTTGTCAGTGTAACACGTCAAGTAAAATGCCAGTATCTTCCAAACAAAGCACAGTAGCTGGGAGTTTGCTGTGCTCTGCTCACATAGAAAGGTAGAGCTGGCAAAAATAGTCCCTCAAATTTATAGGAACCAAAGCACAGACAGGCAGCCTTTTGAGTCAGTGACTGCCAAGCAGCTGGGTAAAGAGTATACTGAGCACACACAAATTCTTGCCAGTTTTCCTGACACGGGTACATTCCAAGCAGATCCCAAGTCAAACTTCAGATTCAACCTCCCACTCTCTCACCTTTCACAGTCAGCTTGTGTAAAACAGACTGCTGGAAATTGCTTGACACTTACTCATGCTGGCTAGCGTTTTTGTCTGAACACAACTGCTGTGCACTTATTTCAAAGTTCTAATCTCCACTGCAAATGCAAGCTGGGATGTCTCAAGAAGCTGTGAGTTAGAGTCCTGACAGCACACTGCCGCTTCTCTGGGAAAGAAGAGCAGAAACCACCGCACCAAGGGGTGAGGATCCCAGACAATAAACCTTCCCCTGCTCCTCTGCACGAAACGTGCTTCTCACCAACACCTGTCAGCACAGCAGTGCTGGACGTTTCATCCTTCCACAGGACTGCTGGCACAGGGCTGCTGTGGGCTCCTTTTCTCCTGGCCGTATCAAGGTGGACCTCTTCTGCCATACGGCATTGAGCAATGCCAACAGTAATCTTTCCAGCAATAGCTCCTGCCTCCTCAGCCCCAGGGACCTGTGCTGTCAGTTCCTTACCCATCTTCACCAAGAAGTGTGGGCACCAGGACTTTTCCACTCCACAGGAAGCACAGTGGCCCAGCAGGAGGCAGAATACAGCTGTCTACAAGCTGCTGCTTATGCTTCGTCTTGGAGGCTGAAGACTTTGCAGACAGGTCGGCCAGGAGGCCAGGTCTCACCCAGCCTCCCAGCGCTCCTCAGGCTGGATCACAGCCCCCACCTAGTGGCAACCAAGCTGTGAGGGACACAGCCTCCCTGTCACAAAGCAGAACAGGCTGGACTTCAGCAGCTCACAGACAGGAAGCTGGGGAATGAATGCCACTTGGCTGAACACTGCAGAGCATGTCCTTGCAGCCCAGGCTGTATGCCACACGTGCTGAGGAACAGGAACGAGAACAAAAGCATGCCTCTGAGAAACGTTGAGGATGCTTTGGCCCATGTCTCCTTTGTACTGCACGCACAGTAAAATCAAGAGAATAACAGACCATCCTCTGAATACACTTGTCAGGTATGATACTCAGATGCCTGTCCTACAACACTGCAGACATCTGCTCTGCACAGATGCAGGGGCAGCTGTGAAGTGAGTTGCAGCTCTTAGAACACCATCATGCAAATGACTTGTACCTGTCCAGTTATACCTGGACCCAAGACAGCCTGAGTCCAACACAAAGGACAAGAACAGGGCAGATCTCATCAAACTCAAGCCCCTGGGCCTAATAAAAGGCATGCTGAAGGAACAGAAACAATCTTCAAAGCAGCACACGCATAGCAGTATCAACAGTCAAAAAGAAGAATGAGGAGAACATATGGAAGGAACCACTGGATGTGTGAAAGGCACGGCCAAGAGCAGACAGCAACACTGCAGAGCGATTCTAAGAGCTCAGTATCACAGACAAGGGGCTAGCTTAAAAGAATTCAAAGTACCTCATTTTAATTTCCTGATATGGTAAAAGTTTACATAGTTTCATCTGGCAAAGAGAGCTCAACAAATTAAAATAAATCAATACAAAGAAACACAAGGGGGAGTGCTGCTCCCAGATAGCAGCTACAACGCAGTTGGTTTGTTACAGAATATTTATTAGTGGGAAGACTAAGGTTGACTCACTACAAACAACAACAGAAGAGTCTATAGAAAGGGCTGGCGGCCCTCCACACTCCGGGGAAATCCCTAGGAAACCAGCAAGAGACAACATGGCTCTTAGAGGTGGAAGCAGAAAAAGAAAAAAAAAACAAAATTTAAAAAAAAAAAAAAAAAAAAGAGAGAGAGAGAGAGAGAGAGAGAGAAAGTTCATTTCTTTTGTCACTGTTGTTACAACGAAGTTAACACAACTATTAAGGCTACTGCACAATAAGAATATATGGGTGTAACGAGACCTGGGAAACAGTGAGGTTCCAGAAATAAATGATTTAACATTCCCTGAATATGGGACTTAAGTAGAAATACTATAAATAAAAAATTTGGAGCCTGCAGCATTATGGGTTCACTTCCCACACACAAAAACTGACGCAACACAACCAATCATTTCCAAAGGGGGTTGTAATGGACCATGAAATGTTCCAGCAGCTTAGAGGAGTCAGTAGGCACACAAGGGTGCTCTTTTGCAGGGGAAAGAATACAAGGTTTGCAACGGTACCAGGTGGGAATTGGCCATCCTCACCCCAAGCACTACTGTCACAGCTGGCCTGCTGTGCCTGACAGCTGGAAGCACTGCCAGAAGAAAGCAGGTTGCATTCTGATCACACATGGAATCTACCAGGAGTTTAGCATCAGACCTCTGGCTCCTCCCTTCTCTCAGCCTGGGCAAAAGCAACTTATACTGAGGAGGCATGAAGACTCCCGTGAAGTTGGTTTTAACCAAGAAAGTGACTCTAGTCAATTTGCAAATTGGAGCAGAAGCCACATGCGCTCACAACCAGCCAGTACAGCAATCAGCCCCAGTGACAAGCACCACCTTCAGCTCTGCATTGACCTGCTCAGAACCAAGGCAGAGACAGATGCGCCACACTCTACTGAGTCAAAAAAGCCACAGAACAATTACAGACCTCTCAGTGGCACTGGAACGTGGCTCTGGCCACCAACCCAGACGGGGCAGGATCCTGTCTTTGCAAATAAGTCAGTGCAGAGCATTGGCAAAGAGGCTCAGCTACAGCCAGCACTGAAGAGAGATGGCTTTCAGTGACTGCACCACCACCCAGGCCTTATCTTGTGCTGAAGACTGTCTGCCTTGTTCACAGAGACCACAGAGAAGTCTCCAGCCAAGAGATGGAACATGACAAGGGCCTGGTCTCTACTGTAGCTCCTACTCAGGTAGGAAGAAAGGCATGAAGGAATGTTCCTGCCTGGCTGGCGCTCTGCTCTCACTCTGCAGTAGCCTCTAGGGCATCCCAAAGCAGCAAGGCCTTTTTTCTTTACCAGATACTAGAGGGAGGGAGAGCTCCTGAGACCTGAATAAAACCAATCACAAAACTAGGTGAGAATTTCTTTAGATTTTAACAAAGAATGCAATACTATTTCCAGCCAGTTTCCCATCTCGATAGTCATGTAACAAACCAAGGCAATGACGGTCTTTAGTTGACTGAACAGTTCTCAAGTTCAAACGTTGACACTTAATAAAGGGTCTCAGCATTGCTGCTCCGAGGCCTCTTGATCTTCTCAATGTTTTTAAGGATCATGTCATGCAAAGTGACCTGCAAAAAGGGAGAACACAACTCAGAAATGAAGGAGGGGAGTGTCACCTAGCATTCAGGATTCACAACAACCACTGACTTGAGCAATATCATAGCTCATTCTAGTACTACTTTCAACCCCTGCTTGCAATCACATTTCTGCTTAAAATAAACACAAAAAGAAGACATCAATACAGAGTACAGAAATGGTTTCTACTGCCTGAAGAATTTAGGATTGCAGGTTCCCACAGCAGTGCACAGAATATTTTGTGCTCAGCTTTCATGAATACTCAAGTTGGAAACACCCACATCTCTGGGAGATGGTGGGGAGGCAATAAACACTTAGTTCTTCTTGCTAGTGCCAAAGCAGACCAGGAAAGACATAGGCTTCTTGCCAGGACTAGCTGTAACCATAGGGAAAGGGGAGAGCAGCAGAAGGATCGAAAGGGCTCTTTCTTTCACGTGGAGAGCCAGCGAGAGCTCTGTTTTCTCACTTACATACTGATTCCTCAGCTCTGAAATGATCAGGCGCAGACTGATGTACTCCTTCTCGTCAATCTCTGTCACTGTGCGGCGGTAGTCCTCCTGCAGGAAACAGATGCATGGCTAAGTGGCCTGAGCTCAGGTGTGCTTCCATGTACCAACTGAAGGTCCTACCTTTCACAAAGGAATCCCCCTTTCAGTTTCTTCTCTTCTGATGAAGATATTCTGTACTCTAATATAGCCCACCCTTTTCCCACAGTGCCCTTAGCTCAAAAAGGACAGTGATGGAGTAGCCCGAAGAGTCCCAGAAAGCAGCAGCACATAAACAGTAAAGCACCACTTCCCCATTTACTTACCACATGAGGGTACTTAGCTATTTTGGACACCAACTTGGCTCTTGTGATATAATACCTGTTAGGAAAATGGAGACAAATCAGACAAACAGTACCAAGATTTTTCCAGACACAACCTGCCCCTGCAAAGCTGAAGGACCTTCCCCGAAAGGTTACTTTTCCCAGCAGCACTCCCAGAGAGAGCTCTGTTTCTTCATACCTAGAAATCTGGTCCAGATAGGATGCTGCCTCACTCTCCACAGTTCGAAGCTCAGCGACTGTTTCCTCCTGCAAAGGAAGCCTTCTCATGAAATACTCATACTGAAATTGGCCGTCGTGGCTCTAGAAGTACCCTGTCTCAGCAGTTCCATGTCAAGCTCAGATTTCGATTTTAAAACCTAAACCAACTCCACCACTGCAGACACTGGATACAATCAAATGATTTGGAAGAAACCTAGAGGTCCACGCTCTTGGTGCATAGCTCTCTGCACAGTAGGGCATACAGCCTGCCAATGGCTTACGGGCTGGTTTGGCCCGGTTCCATGACTAGCAGGGCAGGGGTATCCACAGACCCATGTCCTGAGAAAGGGAAAAGGGAAAAAGGAGAAAAAGGTAGAGAGATGGGCCTTAAAACAGCGGCAACAATCTGAGGAGAAACAAACTAATTTACTAAATCAGATATCGAAACATAAGATAACACACTACAATACAAAACCACGACACAGCCAATGATATCTTACCTGAATAGAAACACCAAAGTTGTTTCCATCTTCTATCCTGGGAATTAGAAGTTGCACCCACATTTTGACCTGCAGAAGAAAGATCACTATAAACAGATCACTGCCAAGATTTTTACAGAGAAATCTTGTAATTTTTTCCAAAAGCCCCCTATGACCGTGTCTTTGCCATGCAGCTCATGATACACTCCTACAGGTTCTCCATGCTCCCACACCACTTCTGAGTAGATTAAATTTCTCATATGGCTGAGAAGCCACACAAGCATAGCAGCTTCTCAAGGGAAGCTCCCTTGATTGTGCCCAAGTGGCTCTCAGCAGGTGTTGGTTACTATGCAAGAGGGTGAAGAAAAGCCTCAAGAAAGAAGCTTGCAAAACAGACATCCTCCTTCACAAGGTGTACTACAGAACTCCCTGAGAGCTCAGAAAAGGAACATTTCCCTGCACCTACCTGTCAGACTTCACAAGTGCAGGATTCATACCACTATCATTTATAAGATACAGAGGAATCTGCTCCTTCAGCGAACCTTCACACAAGGAGCAAAAGTATTCTAGTGCCCCCATCTGCTCCAGAACTCAGGGATGCAGCCCACACCCACCGTATTACACTTCTCAATAAGCAGCCTGATCTCTGGTTTCACTTTCTCAATGATGTCCACCAGCTGCTGGTTGCTCTTCAGCATCCCATTGGGCATCACAAACACTTTGGTACCTACAGTGGCAGAGAAGGCAAATGCATCACCTCTATGTGGGAACAGATGCACCAGAAGATCAGACTAAAGGTCCACCTGAGCATCATGTCTCCTACAAAGGCTAGCAGTGGACACTGAGCCAGGACACAGCTAACCAGCGAGGAGGGGGGAAACTGGGCATGGGCTAGCCGTGATTGCCACAAAGGAAAGAAGAGAAGAAATACGGACTTAGACGAGAACTGGAGAGCTCTAGCCTGCTGAGCCTAGGTACAAGGATTTTCCTGACACACGTGTAAGAAATTATTCTGCCTCAGCTTAATCCAAAACCAGAGGTCTTCCTCCAGATGTAAAAAGCTTTTAGAATAGATCCATAGGGAGGCCAGCTGCTCATCAACACACTATGCCTAAGCAACTGCTACTCATGTCGATCAGAGAAATCCAAATCCTGCTGCTTCTAAGAGCTAGAACCTGACTCCACCACAAGAGAATATCTGTAGGTCAGGCTCTGAGGCTGCAGAGACAGGTCTGCATAAGCAGCAGATGCTGTCAGGTCAGGGCAAGTGGGACTGAAGTCATTTCATTCTCTTAAGGCACGGCTCAAGGGGCAGGCAGCAACAAAGAGACTCGGGGATTCTTACCCTGAAAGGTCTCTTCACGGTCTTCCAGCTTCCTCTTTTTCATATTTGGCTAAAATATACAAAATGTTTTACTCACAAACTAGTCGTAAGCTATAAAACTGTTGCAGAGGAAGTAAGGATAACATTAGGGCCTCTGCTACACTCCTGGTTTCTAACCATCCATCTTTAAAAACAAAGGAACGCTGTGAAGGACAGCATCACCCTCCAGCAGACTTCCCAAGATCGGGAGACCAATTCCTGAAAGCCTTTGGGAGGCTGTTTGTTAACTAAGAATATTCTAATCCAACACAGACCAGGCCATGCAGTTTTAATTATCAGAAGCAGGAGCTCAGCCAAGAGAGTAACCTTACCCCGTCCAGTCCATCATGGCTGTTTGTGAGAAGAATTGGGTCAGGCACTGGGAGATTCATGTCTGAATGGATCTGAGTGAGATCGTGAATATTCAGGATAGGCTCCTGGAAAATAATGCATACTTGTTATTTAATTATGAAATAACGACTTCTATCACAGTAAGCACAATAAGATGACAAAAGTTTTACATTTCCAAACACAAAATAAGGACGAATACAAAAAAAACTCCAACAATAGGACCGTTAGCAAGACCTCCCTCTGTCCAAGAGCAGAGTGCCAGCTCTAGATTACGATCAAAGCTATTGTCTGTCTGCAGCGCTGGGCATGCTGGAGTCCTATAGCATCATGAAGGACAGCCCAAAGCTACTGAATGCGTAAGAACAGTAAATGTGTCGATCACATGAAGAAAACTGAAACAGGAATCACTCCCTCTAGAGCTAGCAGCGTTTCAGTACATGCACGCAACAAAGCCATTGCTTCGCTTCTCTGCATTATGGTGATATACACAAGATAAATGCACAGGAAGGATCTGTTCCAGTCACATCACCTTCCAGCACACAGTTTGAAATTAAATAGAATACAGAAGATAGCACGTATATCTTACTTTCAGGAACCCATCGAGTTCTAACAGCTTCTTTGGGAAAAAGTTTGCCACTAGATCTTCAGCCTGATAGAGAAAAAAGAGATTATGAAGTGAAACAATGCCACGAATTCATCATGAGCTAACAAAAACACCAGGAAAATTGACTCTCCAAAGCCAGGAAACAGCAGAGCACATAAGTTCTGCCTTCCAACAAACTCCACACAAAGCCAAAGGGAAAAAAAAGACGTGGAGTGGGCCACAAGGCTGTATAACCTCATCTCAGCCAATGACTAAAGTGAGCTGTGCACACTTCTAAGATTACAGAAGACACTCAAACGTCAAAAAGACGTGCCAAGCTAGCTCTTTCCTCTCAGAGGATACTCACCTCGCTCGTGATCCGCTCTCTGAAGGAGTCAACCTACAGAAGAAACAAAGCAACAGTTCAGGACCATCCCCAAAAGTTCCCCAACTCAACAGTAGCTGGGCGCTGCGCCATGCACGGATGGAGCCTGCCTCAGGTCTGAACCCCGGGCACCAACTTGTTCCTGTGAGCGCACGGCGGAGGGCCGGGAGACCCCAGGATGGACGAGAAGCAGCCGAACGCAGCCCGCGCCTCCCTCACTTGCACGGGCCGAGTTCCAAAAGCCAACGCACGGCGCGAGGAGCCCAGAACAAAAGCCGCGAGGCCGCAGACCGCCAGCTTCAGCGCAGGCTGAACGCAGCACACACCGAGCGGAAACAGCGCGGGCGCGGCCCGGCCAGGGCCCAGCAGGAGACTCCGATCGGACAGCGGCGGAAGAGGAGCGGCGGGGCGGAGTGGGCCGGGCCGCGCTAGGGAGGCGCGGAGAAACGGCTGAACGGCCCCCGCGGAGGTGCCGGGCCCGCCCCGAGGCCCGGGCAGACTCCACGGGGAGGGCTGGCAGCAGCGGCGGGCCGTTAAGCAGCCGAGAGCAGCGGGCGCACCTTGAGCTTCACCTCCGGGTCCACCTTGAGCAGCGAGGCCATACCGGCAGGTGCGAATCCGGGTCTCGCCGTGCCACGGGCCGCGCCTGCCGCCACCCCACCGCCGGCTCCGCTGCCGCCGGAAGTGAGGTCACGCCGCGTGCTGCCAATAGCAGCTCGCTCGCTCCCCGCCTGACCGCACCGCCGGGTCCTGGCAGCTGGCAGGAAGGAAATAGAGGGGAACGTGGAAAAGAAAATGGCTGCCATCGGGGCTTCCACACGCCTGCTAGGACCTTGCCGGGCTGTGCGTCACGTCCGGAAGAGACGATGGCGGTGGTGCGGACCAGGGGCTGAGCGGAGCGAAACGGCATGGAGGGCGGGCGGGCGCCCGCCTGCACCACGCAGGTCAGCTTCGTGTGCCAGCGCTGCAGCCAGCCTCTGAAGCTCGATACCTCCTTCAAGATCCTCGACCGGCTCACCATCCAGGAGCTCACCGGTACCGGCACAGCACGGGGGGTGGGACTGGCCGACTGGGCAGCGCCGGGCGCTGACAGCTTTTCTCCCGTAGCGCCGCTGCTGACCGCTGCGCCTGCCCGGCCCGGGGATGCGCAGGAGGAGAGCGCCCTGAGCGAGGTACGAGGAGGGAAAGGGCGGGACGCGGCCGCACCGCGGACCCGGTAACGGCGGTGCCTTTCCCTGCAGGAGGCCTTCGCGGAGGGTCGGCAGGACGGCGTCTCCAGGAGGTTCATCCCGCCAGCCAGGTACACGGCCAGGGCAGAGCTGGTGGACGCGCCGCGCCGTGCCTGCCTTGGGCCGGGGGGCGGGCAGCGCTGTGGGAGGGGTGCTGTGTGCCTCGGATCGCGCGGAGACTTTTGAAGCCTGCTTCTGGAAGTGTTTTCCGTGGGCTCTGAAACGCACTCAGGAACAGCCCTTTAAAGCGCCATAAATATACTGAGGACACTTAATTAGTTGTGGGTTAACACAAAACAGGCTTGGTAGAGCTCCTTTGACTCCTGTCCCCTCAGCCGTTTTTCTGGTGTGTTGTCTGTGTTCTTCCTTCCTGAGAACTGCCCTAGATCTAAGTCTCGTGCACAGCCTGGTTCCCTTAAGCCCTCCGCATTCAATTCTCGGTAAAATTCTTTCCAAGAATGATGTCAACAGAAAGCGCCAACAGCTTCACGCTGATTGGAGAGGCATCAGATGGAGGCACGATGGAAAACCTCAGCAGAAGACTGAAGGCAAGTTGTACTCGAGCTGGTAAACTTGGGTACTTTAGACTTGATGACCTCAAAGGTCTTTTTCTCCCTAAATATTCTATGACTCCATGACTATAGCATTAGTTTTTCTAGACACTGTGAAGGGGTTGAAGTGCAAAGTTTGTCATGGCATTGGCCTTCAAATATTTTTGAGAATGAATAGTTAAGTAAGCATAACTGGCTTATTTTTAATCAAGACTTAATCTCCTAAAATACTCTGTCAGAGATGAAGAGCCACAAGCCCATCAGCTGGGAAGCAACTGGCAGCTGTCTGCAGCTTTGCTTCAACTAATGGTGAATTTCTCCTCTAGGTTACCGGTGATCTCTTTGATATCATGTCTGGGCAGACGGATGTGGATCACCCCCTGTGTGAGGAGTGCACAGATACTCTGCTAGACCAGCTAGACACACAGCTTAATATCACAGAGAATGAATGCCAGAACTACAAGTGAGTAATATGGAATTGGTCAGGAAATCAGTTGGCTTAGTTGGAAACTAGGGAAAAATAGGCTTATCTCGCTTTCCATAGCCAGCAATGGAAGCTCTGGACTTTAGCACTTTGTTTGACTGAGATTAAGCGCTTACTTCTGAGGATCTCAAACTGAAGTCTGTGCACTCACTGGAGTGACAGACCCCACCTGCCCAAGGTGCCAGGTGGGAGCACTCACTGTGAGATCCACATACTTTGCAGTTATTCACAGGCAGCAGCAGGTCCTCCATCACCACCTTGTTCCACTGATACAGCCGATGCACTTGTAAGATTGGAGTTTGTGATTGTACTTCTACTCGCGTGCAGGGCCTGTCATAGAACTACAAAGTATTGGCAGAGGGCCTTTTCAGGGTCTCCATTCTTATAACCATGTAACTGTCCTACCAGGAGATGTCTGGAGATACTGGAAAAAATGAACGAGGATGATAAGGAGAAACTGCAGACAGAACTGAAAGAACTTGCACTGGAAGAAGAGCAACTGATTCAGGAGCTAGAAGATGTTGAGAAGAACCGCAAGGTTGTGGCTGAAGACTTTGAAAGAGTCAGGGCAGAGGCGGAGCGACTGGAGCAGGAAGAAGCTCAGTGAGTGAACTGCAACTGCAGTTGCTGGCAGATAAATGAAATTATAAAGTATGGAAACCTATGACTAATGCCCAAATGCACAAAGCTTGTTCTTGGCAAAACTGAAGCTGGACACGCCAAAATAATTCTAGCATATCATGTGAGCGCTTACATTCTTTCCTGTAAGAGCCTTGTACCTAGCATTTCTTGTCTTGATTTTATTTGAAGGTATCAGAAAGAATACTGTGAATTTAAGAGACAACAACTGGAGCTAGATGATGAGCTGAAAAGTGTGGAGAACCAAATGCGTTATGCTCAGATGCAACTGGATAAATTAAAGAAAACTAATGTGTTCAATGCAACTTTCCACATCTGGTAACGTAGACACTGGAATATTGCTTCAGTTTGCTAAGATTCTGCAATATAGAACCATTTAAATAAAACTGCTTTTGACAGAAGAGGTGCTAGTCAAGTTGTGCTGCAGAAAATGGACCCATCTCCCACTAGTGGCATCTCAGAGATTTGCTGCAGTTTGCAGATGTGTGTGAGGAGCCTGCAAAATGGCTCTGCTAACCATGTTAACCAGCAGGCAGCTGTTGTGCTGGCCAAATTTCTGTCAGGCTTCAGAGAGCATGCAGCTTGTTTTTGTTTTCCCAAAGGAACTTCATAGAAAGCAAAACATTGGTGATATTTATATATACTTTCAAATCAGGGTCCTCAAACCTTCATTCTGCGTGATTGGTAGCGTGTTCTGTAGCTGTTTGTAGGTTGCCCTTGTTTGGTTAGCATGCTAAAAGCTGTTCCTGCCCCAGTGCACTTATTTATAATTCCTCTTATCACAGGCACAGTGGTCAGTTTGGCACAATAAATAACTTCAGACTTGGCCGTCTCCCCAGTGTTCCTGTAGAATGGAATGAGATCAATGCAGCCTGGGGGCAGACTGTGCTGTTACTGCATGCCCTTGCTAACAAAATGGGCCTGAAGTTTCAAAGGTATATGCAATATAATTTGCATTTCACATTTCACTTACAACCTGGATAAAGACTTTTAGACTCACCTGCCCGTGAACTGCATGTCCTTTCAGATACCGCCTTGTACCGTATGGCAACCACTCGTATTTAGAGTCCCTCACAGACAAATCGAAGGTAAGTAATTCTGCACGAGTTGCAGAAAATAGACCTGGAACATCTCGGATCCCTCTCATACTGAAGGACACAGAAGACTAAGTCTGCTCTTGAGAGTACACCTTTATGAATTTATGGCATAGGAGAGCTGGCTACCCTGCTTTCAACACACAGTGTTTCACTCCATGTCATATCAAGCCACTGACTCTGCCATCCAGGAGCATTAAAAAAGGCTGGACTCTTACATTCACAGAGCAGCTGGTCAGAGGAAGTTAATTTGATTTGGGAAGATTGTTGGTGATAAGGAACTCAAGTCTTCTCTCGATAACTACTAACATTCACGTAGCATGCTTAGCATGAGACAAACTGCTACAAACTACTGTAGTAAGCATCCTAAATTTAAGCCGCACACAGACTAAAGATTTGTAATGACAGCATCTAAAGTGAAAGCTTAAGGTGCCTGAATTTTTCTTTTAATTTTTTTTTCCCCCAGGAGCTACCCTTGTATTGTTCTGGAGGCCTAAGGTTCTTTTGGGACAATAAATTTGACCATGCGATGGTGGCTTTCTTGGACTGTGTGCAGCAGTTTAAAGAGGAAGTGGAAAAAGGTGAAACTCGGTTTTGTTTGCCTTATAGGTAAGTGTTGCCAAATAACATCAAATTACCACATTGTATGGTGTCCCACTCAGCACTGTTAGCTGACCTCTGGACCTGTCCACAGCACTGCTTGCTTTGCAGTCCTGTCTTTTGGAGATCATTTCATGTTCTTTGTAGTGTGCAGGATTATCACCCTTGCTATAAGTCTGAGATTTAAGGCTAGTTCCTCAAGTGAGGAAGTCTGAGGCTTGCTGCATTTCTTTTAAAAACAAAATATTATAACGTACAAAGAATGTGAGTATCAGATTTAAAGATCAGAACTTAACACTACATTGAAATTAAATGCTTGCTCTAGTAACTTCTTAATAATCTTTGTGATACAGGATGGACGTGGAGAAAGGAAAGATTGAAGATACAGGTGGCAGCGGTGGTTCTTACTCTATTAAAACACAATTTAACTCTGAGGAGCAATGGACAAAAGCACTAAAATTCATGCTAACTAACCTGAAGTGGGGTCTTGCCTGGGTCTCATCCCAATTCTATAACAAATAACCATGTCAAGGCAACTGTAAAGCATCTGCATTTTATTGGAAAAACTCAAATTAAGAAGTCTCTGAATACTAACCAGTACAAAATGTTTACAATGCCAAAAATTCACAAGACACTTTATTTAAAAAATAAAAAAAAAAATGTTATTGCAAGTAGTATGTAGAAAAGCAATAGGTAAAATTATATAATTGAGCTGAACTGAATTTGAAAAAAAATCAGCTACTGAATAGACATTAAACTGGCATTTTGGATGTTTATAGATATGTATATAAGTTACTGTCAAATTTCAAAATGCCAGCGAGTTTGATACTACTGTTACAGCTTAACAAAACAGGGGTTGGAAAAATAAAATGTTTCTAACAGGGACTGCTGTGGAAAAACGCATGGAAGGTCTGTTTGGTCACTGAAGAAGTACAGCTTAAAATAAATATTTTCTAAGTCATATCTACATTTCTTTATGCCACTGAACTTCACAAGGGTTTGAAACTGCAAAATACGTTACTACAGTGATATCACCTATTTGTGATACTTGCTGTAGCGTGTTACTGCACAGAGGTGCACTGAGTAACACCAAAGATAAAACAGCCCGTTCTACCCTGAGATTGCTTTCATCTAACACTAGTCACAGCCTAAGCATCCCTCAGCACTTATGCAGTTATGCTGAACAGGCACCTGCTGCCTTGACAACTGCACTCAGCTTTCAAAACAGGTGAGAGTTTTTCTTTCCACAACACTGCTCAGCTAGCTGGCTTGCTGAAGGCAAGAGCAAACAAGCCTCTGACCGCTGGCAAAGGGAAAACTGACAAGCAGCCTGGCTGCAGCAAGCTGTCTGAAACAACAGTTAGTTTTTGAACCAGCAGCACAGTACAGCCCGGTTTGTAATAACTGAGCTTGTGAACTTGTAGCAATACTGATGACCAAGCTGAATAACATTCACGTTAATGCTTTTTCAAATTAAGACTCCTTACAGTTTTCAAACAAAATGTATTCAGTAAGTTAAATGTAGCTCTTAAAATAAAGCTTTTGGAGCTGAAAAAGTGTTCTAAACACTGCTTTGTTCCTGTGTACCTGTCTTCACGGCGCGAGTGCGTAGCCTGGAAGAACAAGCTTTTCTAACTTAAACATAGCAAATGAAGTATTACAGAACAGACACGGTATTCAAAACCAAAAGAAAATCAATTTGGGTGCCCTGTGTAGTATCACAGGAGGTGAAATACCATCAAAAGAGTAACTTTGCTAGTAACAAACTAACTAATAGATACAGAGGATAGCTGTATATAAAAGGCATAATTCTAGTCTTTGGCATTTTTCTTCTACCTCCTGTGGGGCTGTTTTGGAGTGATGCTGCCAATAATGTGTTTCAGTACTGCATATGAAAACTCTGAGATGCTTTGTGAAGTAATGCCAGTAATACAGTTTAAATGTTCCACAACCTTAGGAAAAAAACAAAACAACAAAAAAAACCCCACTTATTTACAGTGCCTAAAATACATTAATTTACAGAGCTACTTCTTAGCCCTACCCATATCTAAGAAGAAGAATAATGCTCCACAAACCCAAGTCATGTTTTTGACTTTAGTCAAAACCTTTCTGTATGTCAGAGGAAGGGGTGGGTTTTCTTGTTCTTGTTTGTTTGTTTTTTAAATGAATTGCCTCTACTAAAGAAATAAAATGAAAAAGCTGCTTTCTGCAATGCACTGCTTATTATTCAGTAGCAGCTTGGGCAGAAAATTGTCCGGTTGTCAATGAAACTGACTCACTGAGTTCAAGCTGTACAAAAGCTGAGGCAGGAGGATAAGCTGATGGTAACACCAGCACAAGCCTTGCTGCTGAACTGCCTTTGTGCCCTCTGACCTATCTTATAAAACCATGCACACTTCCTGCGAATAAACCAAAGGATGTCACTTTCACTCCCAGTAGTCTACCAACCTCTGTCTGTTCTTAAACATATAAATAACCTTCACTTTTTTCCCCACACGTAGAGGTAATTTGTTTGGAAATGACTGTACCTTCTTCCAGTGCTCAGGGTTTAGCACGAAAGCACTTGTGCTGATGATGCCAACTGCCAAGAGCATTAAATCTTCCTTTACTATCAAGAACTTTGCTCTGCACAAGTAAAAGCATGTAACGGTGTAAAACGATGCTAGTTCAAGAACACTGGAAATCTTTGTACAGCCTGCAGACATTTTAGCTTGTATAGTCAGTCCAAATAAAGCTTGATACTCTTAACGTTAATTAACAGTACTGAAGCTGGATTTTTAACATGAAGTTAAACACTTCCCTAGCTTGCCCTTAAAGCAAAGGGCAAAGTGGTGAAGCATGTTGTTTTGAACTGGTATATTATGCTTCATCAACAATACTGAAAGCTTCCCAAATTAAGACACTTAAAAACAGATGTCAGAAAAGAAGACAAGAAAAAAAACCAGCATAATGAGAATTATAGTAGTATGCTTTTGTAAGGTTTTAATTAATGTAAGCCACTTACATCTGCAGTTCACTTGGTGTCAAATTCTCAATGGCAATACTCAGTAAAGTGTCATAGATGGCATCTCTTTTAAGATAGAAGAAGTCCAGTAGTTGTATGCACATCTGATGCAGCGGTTTTGCAGGAAGTAAGCAGCCATTATGTCCTGATGTAGAGATCATACACAATTACCCAAACATTTAGGATCAACAAATTGAGTTAGAAAGAAGCATTAGTTACTGCAAGTGAATAATACAGATGTTTTGTGACAACTGCCCCTTGTTTCTGAATGCCACAGGGCCCTCTCAATCTCAGTGCCATTACACTCCTGAAATTCAGGTTGTCAGACCTGGGCAAAGTAAATGGCAAGTCATTTTAGAAAATGTGTTCTTGTACTAAGTTTAGTGAATTTAAAGCAACCTTTTATTGAATGGGACAGGACTGGCTGTCAGACAAAACCCTGCAGATTCTACTATAGACAAATTCTCATCTGAAAGGTCAAGTCTGAGAAGTTTCACATGCCTTCATAGTAAGAAAAGATATGTAACATGGGACATTTCATTTCAGATAGCTATACTGCAGTAATAGCTCTGTTGCTCTTAAAATTCCTTACCATTCTCTCTTAATAATGCTCTTACCTAAAACCTCTAGAAGCAGTTCAATGTAAGCCAGTGGAGTCGACACATTGATCTGGAACTGCAAAGTTTCCAAAACAGCAAGCTCTGACTCAAGCAACTCTTGTTTAGTGTATGAGTATTTTAAGGATTGCAGAAATTTTACAGCTGTGTCACTGTTAACTGCCTAAGAGGAAAAAAAAAAACACACTATTGTGTCCTCATTGCTTTACTCCTCCCGTTGAGTTTAAGCACAAACCATTGTGGTGTTGATACTGCATGCTCCCACAGCTGCCCAACATGCCTTTTAAACTGGCATGAGAAATACAGCTCAGAATTTTCCCTTAGGTTCTCTATACCCACACACACGGTTGCCAGACAAGCTCTTTGTAGCTCTCTGTGTTCTGACAGCCACAGGCTGGGATTTCCAGCTGCCTGCACTTTCTTCCTGACCTGTACTGGGAACATTTCCTGACACATTTTTACAAGATGAGTTACAATTAATCTGCCTGAAATGCAAGAGACTGGGGCCTCATTTTGCTATCCTTTGTGTTGCTATCACTGCTGATTTTCAGAGAGAAAATGTATTACTTAGAGAGGTTATATACTTTTCAACAATACTGAAAATGCAGCTGGAAAAGGCTCATATAGGTTACATTATAGTGTAAGGAAAGTTTGCTCGCAAGCTGAATGCACGACACCAGCCGTAGGACAAATGTGTCATAGATCTGTTCTTGCAGAGAGCTCTGGCTTCTGCCTTCTTCACCACCTGTGACGTTCTGTCGGGGGGACGTACAGATTTGTTCTACTTGCTTGATCATAAACCTACAAGAAACATTTCTAGTAAGGAAAAATGAAGACAAGCAGTTCTGTATGTACACAGTACATGTATAGCTATAGATCTAAATTATCATTCAAGAGACAAAGCTCCAGATACAAAAAACATATAGTTTGAGTGACCAGCAAAGGGTATGCATGGTGTCAATTGCATTAGAGATGAGAAGTGCTCAGCATTTTCTTACCTTTCAAGTAGCTCTACTGCTTGATACCTTGCTGGTTGGTCCAGGTGCCATTTTTCAGACAGAAGGAATATAAATTCTGGAAGAAACAAAAAAACAAAAAAAAAAATCAAAAAAAACCACCTAATTGCAGCAAACTTCAGCCAGCAGACACAGCTGTACAGCAGTCCAGTGATGCAGGAGCCAGTGGTGGCTGTGCAGGACCTCACCCACAGCGCGTGCCTCCCTGAAGCAGCCCACAGGGCCGGGCAGCATGCTGAGGTGCTGCTCATTCTCCATGGCCAGGTGGATCAGTGTGTCCTCGATGATCTCAGGAGCAACTTCACCAAAGAGCGGATCTGGGCTGGAGAATCTGGATGATACTGGCACCCGGGACAGCATTTAGCAATTTGCATCTGAAACTTTGAGGGCTGTAGTAATGGCAGTAACCCTTCACAACTACCAATGCCAAAAGCCACACAAAACCAGGCAGAGGCAGCCCTTACGGCCTGGGAAGACCTGCCGGAAAGTGGAAGACCCACCCGCAGCCTCCGGAAGGAGCCCCGGGGCGCGCGGCGCAGACGCAGCCCTACCGGCAGAGCGCGTCCCGCCTTGGCACGTGCATACGGTTCCTGCCTGAGGGAGCGTCCCCACCAATCAGAACGCGCCCTCTACGGCCCTCGACGTTCCGGCGCCAGCCAATCACTCGACGCTCCGCCTCAGGCCGCTGGTGTTCCCGCGCTCCTTCCCGATTGGCGCGCTTCCCGGACGGATGTGGCGTCACTGCGCTACAGGAAGTCGCGGTAGGGAAGATGGCCGCGCCGAGGGAGCCTGACGGGGAGGCGGCGTTTGCGCGGCGCATTGACCCGGAGCGGGAGCCTGGGCTGAGCCCTGAGCAGCGCCGCTTCATGGCGCAGGTGGAGCGCGCCCAGCGCCAGCGCGCCTTGCAGCGCCAGCTCCGCAGCCGCAACGTGTTGCTGGCCCTCGGCATCGGCGTGGTCACCGCGGGCATCTGTATCCTGCAGGCGGAGGGCGGGCTGTGTGGGCTGCGGAGGGCTGTTGTGTTCCTTAACCCCTTCCGCAGACGGGTATACCTTCTACTCCGTGTCGCAGGAGCAGTTTCTGGACGAGCTGGAGCAGGAGGTGGAGGCGGCGCGGGCACGGGCCTGGGAGCGGCAGAAGAGTGCTGCGAGCTGAGCCCGGCCTGGCCCGGTGACGGCCTCGAGGAGACCGGAGTCGCATGGGGCCTGCGTGGCTGTGCTACTCATTACAGCGTCAGGACACCCTGCAGGCAGGGCCTTTTGTCCCAGAGCACAGTGGGGTCCTGGCTAGGGACGTGTACTCAGAATGGGATCGGGCTCCTGCTGCCTTGCGCAATAAACATGTCTAGAGCCTGGGTTGATGCTTGCTGCTATGTCACTTGGTGACCAGAATTCCACTTGGGGTCTCACAGCCCCTGGACACCTGCAGATGTAGGGGGGATTCTCCATTTTTTGTTTTTATCATCTGGCTCAAATTTGCATGAACCCCAACTGCATAGACACAGACAGACATGCTTGGTATTCAATCTGTATTTATGAAAACACTTTCTAGAGTTCAGTTTGTAACAAAATGCACTGGGCTGTCATTTTTTAGGGGGCTGAGGGTGGCATCATCTTGCTCTGGAGCCAGCTTTGGTCCTGGCAGCTTGCAAGAGGAAAGTGGCACTTTGAGCCATGGACAACAGCTGGGGAGCCGGAGGTGAAGCTGTGAGGTGGCCTTGGGTTGTGCACGTGGACTGAAGGATGGTTGGAGGACAGCGCGGTGGCAGGGGTGAAGTGGATGCAAGGGGTGTTCAGTTCTGCTCTGGGAGCCAGGAGCAAAGTGCAGCACAGTGATGCTATGAGCAGTGTCAGCACTCATCCCTCCTGCTTCTGGGGCCAAGCTCAAGCAAATGGCTGTGTGCCACTGGGATGAGACAGGGCTGGGGCACACAGGAAAGAGCATATCGGACAAGTGTGGGGACAGCCCTCTGTCTGGTGCAGAAGCAGCAGGTACCAACAGTGAAGTCTTGATAGGGTGCAGAAAGGCAAAGGGCCAGGCTTCCCGAGGTGAGTGCCCACCATCCTTCCAGATGGTGCAGAGGCTCTCTCACCCCCTACGGGGGCAACAGGCACACTGTTGAGGTAGCTCATGAAGTAACTCCTGGCCAGCTGGCTACTGTGGGAGAGAGGTGCTGATGAGCTGGGGCAGGCTGGGAGTGCCGCAGGGCTGTTAGCAACCCCTGACCCCTTACCATCCAGCTGAAATCATCTGCAAATGTCACGCCCTTGCTCAGCCGCTGCTCCTGGGAGCCAGTGCTGCTGCCACTCAGTGAATTCCGGCGCATGATTCCTGCTGGGACAGTTCAGTCCTGAGTGGGTGCACTGAGCTGTGCCTCACACAGGCTCAGCCTTGGGAGCCCCATCCTAGCTGGGAGTTGCAGGTATCACTGGGGCTGTACCTGGGGGCTGCGCCAACTCCAGGCGCTGCAAGCTGTTGCGGCGGGAGGGGTTGAAACTGCCCTTGGAGAGGCGACGCTGGCGGCTGGAGAGCATGGCAGCAGGGGAGACGATGCCCAGCGGGGGCTGCTTCCCCATCCGCAGGTACAGTTCCTCAATCTCCTTCTTCTGGGTGCTTTGCAGCAGCTGTACTTCAGCCAAGTGCCTTGGGAAAGAGAATGGGAGCTGAGCCTCGTGTACATATGGTGACCTGCAAAAGGGCATCGTCCTTCTGCCTTAATGAGCACAGCTCCCCACCCCTGGTGTGCACAGGAAGCCACGAGCTCACTATGGGGCTGCTCACTTTTGGCGCAGGGTCTGCAGCTCCTCCCAGATCTCCTCGTCCTCGCTCTCACTGTCATCGCTGCTCACATAGGACAAACTGCGGGACTGGCTCAGCCATACCTGGCTCAGCATCGTCTGCGGAGCACTCTCCTCCCCAGGGCCCTCCCGGTCACTCTCTGCCGGCACTGCTGTCCCCTCCTCAGCTACCGCCTCCTCCTCAGGGTTCTGCACTGCCATCTCCAGCTCTGAGTCAGAGTTGCTGCTCGTGCTGCTCGTGCTGCTCCCTGTGCCAGAGGTGGTGGGCAGCAGAGAGCTGCTCACAGCCAGCTCTGTGCCGTGCTGCTTGCTCTCACTGCTGCCCAGCACTGGGGATGTGACAGCTGGCTCCTTGGATGGTGTCACCTGGAAGCGGCCCAGGATCTGGGGCTTGGCTTCTGGGGGGAATCCATGGGGCCTGGGGTGAGTGGGACACCAGGAATGCTGCAGTGCCCCTGTGGGCACAGTCCTTTCCCCACCTCACCTTCATTGATAGGTGACAGCCGGGCCTTGGGCACACTGGATGCTGGCGACTCTGAGACGATGAGTGGGTGATCGGGCTTGAGGGAGACAAACGGCACCTGCAGGCACCCGTATGCTGTCAATATCCCACTACAATACCATGTCAAAAGGCTCCACAGAGCCCCACACTCACTGTGCTGCCCTCCGGGCTCCCTGGCATGACTGTGCTTGGCATCGTCAAGGGACCTCCGGTGGGGCACAGAGGAACTGCTGTCGGAGGAGAGAATGGCACGGGCCCCTCCATAGCAGGGACGTCAGCCCCCAGAGGCCCGCTGCAAGACAGGGAGGATTTTGCCATACTGGCAGGGTCAGGGTAAACAAAGCGTGGGGGCCCAAGGACGAGATTCTGTGGCCGAGGCAGCAGTGGGGGGTAGAGGTGCCCACCTGAGCTGGCAATGGAGGAGACAGCAGGCAGTAGCGTGTGGGCCACGCTCATCACTGCCAGGGAAAAGACATTGGCCAAGGACAGGAGGGGGGTGGTTGGGGACCAGGGTGTGCTGGTCACGGGGGGGCTCATGGGACTCCTGGGTCCACTGGGGATGGGGGATGAAGGGACTGGCAGAGCAGGGGGAACAGACATTCCTGAAGAGCCTGGGGGTGTCTGTAGGAGCACCGGTGATGCTGTCATCCAGGATGGAGATGATGAGATGAGAGGCCAGGGCTGCGCCAAGCCTGCAGGAAAGAGAAGCATCAGGAGCAGGGAGCAGCCCTGAGCACTGTGCCACTGCACAGTGGCAAAGGTGCTGCAGCTGGCAGGGCTATGGCTGGGAGTCCTGGGTAGAGAAAGTGCTGCCCTGCCAGGCCTAGTACCTGCAGGGGAGCCCGGCAGTGGCTCTGCAGGGCTGGAGAGGTCATTCTCCAATGGGGAGCTGCTCGGCGCTGGCAGGGTGGGTGACTGGAGCGAGGTGCTGGGGCTGGTGCAGCCCAGGTCTGTGGCACAAGGGCACACTTAGCCCATCTAGGCCTCCCAGAACCCTCCTGGCTCAGCCGGGGGTGCAGGAAGAGCTCGCACAGAGGTGAGGACGTACCACTGAGTGAGGAGGAGGAGATGGAGTGTGACAGCTCCTGCAGCTGCAGCTCTGCCTGCTGGGGAAAGAGAAGCTGAGCTCAGTGCTGGAACAAGCTGAACCAAAGCATGACCGATCCCCAACCCATCTCCACTGCAAGCAGGGACAAGAGCCTCAGTTCTGTCATGCAGACAGCACCATGACCCGGAGCTGCAGGGCTGCTCTTGCTGGGGCTGGAAAGATTCAGCACCCACAGCGTCTGCTCCAGCACCAGCCAACTCCCAGCCACACTCGGGGTCCCAGCATGGGGGCTGGGACCAGGCACTCACAGGATGGCCGGTGACACACTCAGCCTCGGGGCTCTCGGGCGGCTCAGATGCACTTTGCCCGTCCTTGCGCAGCAGAGTCTCCACACGGTGGATGATGTCCTGAATGCGGTGGATGAAGCTGTCCTGCTCCGACTTGAGGATGAACTCATTGTGGACCTGGTGGGGCAGTGTGGTGATGCTCAGAACCACGGCTGCCCTTTCCCCACCCTTATCCAAGTCCTGCACTCACCATGACAGCTGCGATTTCCTCTGGGTTGTCCCCATCCAGGTCGAACTTGAATGTCACCATCTTGTTGTTGTAGGTCTGCAGCTGGCACTCCACCACCCGATCGTTCTTGTCGGAGATCTGCATGCAGCATGGAGGGCTCAGCAGAGGCAGCAGGGATGCATTTCACCCTGACACAACGGCACTTACATTGGTGATGCGCAGCCGGGACCGGGCTCTGCGTCGCTGCAGCCTCCCCACTGCCCGCTTGGCTGGCAGCTTGCTGCTCTGCTCACCAGCAGAGAGCCCCTCACAGCCGTCGCTCATGCCTGATGCCACATCCGAGGCATAGCTGCATGACACCCCGTATATGAGTGTGGCTGTCCCCACCTGCAGCCCCCTTCCTAGACAGCTCCAGCCCAGGATCCCAGTGCTTACCTGTCCACTGGAGAAGAGAAGCCGCTGGCTGTGGGCAGGCGCTCAGAGGGTAGCTGCACTGCGATGCTCTGTGGGGAGGGGATACTGTGAACCAGTGCCACCACCGCTGCTGCCCCAACCCTCCCAGCCTCATGGGCTCACCGTGGGGAAGCAACGTGTGGAGCGGGTGGGTGGGGGGCTAGTGGGAGTCCCCATTGAAGCACTGCGATGAGACACGTCTGGGGAGTCGAGAAAGCCAGAGGAGCTCAAGTAGCCATCTGTTTCGCAGTCAGCTGCAAACAAGTGCACATGTGAGCATGGCCAGCTGTGCTTACTAAAGGGGAACCCCAGCTCTCAGTTCCCCTTTAGTAAACACAGCCTTGGGGTGCGATGCACAGGTGTGGCTGGAGGAACAGGAGAGCCCCATGTCTGCTTCCCTGTGCCTACATACAGGTGGCCGAGGAGTAGCTCGTGTGCCGGTACACAAAATGCTGGTCAGCCTCAGGTTCCTCAGGCTCTGGTGGGAAGGTGCTGCTGAAAACAGAGTCCCTGGAGCCGGTGGTGGCTGGGGCAGGTGCAGGGATGCCTGGTGCCAGTGGGGACTTGAGGTCCTCCAACAGCTGCAGGACGCCCGGCGCCTGCCCCAGCTCAGCCTGTGGCACCACATCCTGGGCACGCTTCAGTTTCTCCCGCTTGCGCTTGATGGCGACCACGCGGTCCCGCACCGCCTTCGCCACCAGCTTGTAGTCAGCCTCACAGACAAAGCCCAGGACGACCTGCACAGGAGTGGAGCTGTATCGGTCTGCAGGGATCCCCACAGTGTCCCATCCCCTCCACCCTGCAGCACCCACCATTTCCTGAGCCACCTCCTCTGCCACATCCTTGTAGAGCTCAAAGAGAAACTCGATGGCATTGTTGTCCTTGTACTTGCCATGCAGCTTCTTTGTGTCATCCATCCGCAGCCACAGCTTGAGCCCTGACTTAATGCCATCATCCTCCTCAGCCAGCTCCACATGCACCCCTGTGTCCTCCTGGAAGAAGGAGTGCTCCAGCAGGTCCTGGATGGTGTATCTGGAGGAAAGCGCTGCTCAGTGTGGGCTCACAGCGCATTGCTCTGGGTGGCAGCAAGGGATAGGGCAGAGGGACTGTGTGTGGGTGCACTCAGGGGTGCAGACACTCAGGGCAGGGTTCTGCAGCACCGTGTCCTCTCCCAGTCTCTCACACCTTTCGTCCTTATCCATGCGAATGCAGCCCTCGATGATCTCCTTCAACTCAGGCACCTTCACCTTGTAGAAGCTGCTGGGCTTCAGGCCCTGGGCAGGAGGAGACAGCACCCATCAGGAAACCTCCGGGCTGCAGCTGCAGGGTGCCGTGGTGACCCTAAGACAGTGCCCTGTGGGGCCAGACCCTGCTTGACAGCTGGATCCAGCACTGGGCCTCCAACCCAGGAGGCAGGAGCTGGCTGGGTCTGGCCGGGGCAGCCACGATGCCCTGGGGACAGAGCAGCCAAGCAGCTCCGTTCCACCCTATGAGTGCACGGGGTGAGGCACATGGGCGTCTCTACCCTCTGCTGGCTCTGGCAAAGTTTGCAGAGCTGAGCACCCTCTCACCTCCCAGCCTAATTTTAGCTTCTTGCATAACCTGCCAAGTGGAGTACCTCAGGAGCAGCAAGGTCCAGCAGCTCCCACCACACTGCCCCTTCCTCCAGCCCTGAGGCACTCACTGAGGTGACCTTGCGGTAGATCTGGGCAGCGTTCTGGCACTCCGAGTAGGGGTACTCCGAGGTGGCCATCTCCAGCATGCACATCCCGAAGGCGTACACATCCACCGCTTCATCGTACTTCTCCTCATACATCTCTGGGGCCATGAATTCAGGGGTTCCTGGGGGCACATAGCATGGCTCAGCAATGCGCCTGTTCCCACATGTGCCTCCACGTCCCCCAGGCCCCCATCCCACCTATCACGCTCTTGGCGAAGGAGGCACGCTTGAGCGTGGCCAGCCCCAGGTCCCCGATCTTGACGGAGCCGGTGGGGCCGGTGATGAAGATGTTGTCGCACTTGAGGTCACGGTGGATGATGGGGGGTGAGCGAGTGTGCAGGAAGTGCAGCCCTTTGAGAATCTGACGGCTCCAGCGCTGCAGTACTTTCAGCTTCATCTCCTTGAACCGCTTCAGATAGCTGCGAGGGGACAGGGCTGGCACCAGAGCACTCCACAGGCACTGATGCAGTGCCATGCCCCATGCCTGACCGCAATCCCACCACCACCATTGAGCTGTAAAGGGAACGCAGCAGCCAGGGGCTCCCTGTGCCCCCTCCCCAGGCAAGTTCTGCAAAGGCAACACAGAAAACGCTGCCAAATCCGAGCCAAGCTGCCGGTGCCAGGAGTGCAGTGGGAGCCAGGGGTGAGCACTGCCATGTGACTCCCTGGGGCCCCCCAGCCCATGTGCTAGCCATCACTCCAAGCAGAGCCCTCCCCCACCTCTCTTTCCCTGCACGCTCCAATCCCGCAGCCCCCACTCACGTCTTAAGGGTGCCAGATGTCATTAGCTCAGTGACCAGCACAATGCAGATCTGCCCTTTGACAGACGACTTCCAGGAGTCGTAGAAGCGAACAATGTTGGGATGCTGCAGCCCCTTCAGCATCTCCACCTCCTCACTGAAGCGCTGCCGCTCTGTCTTGGACAGCTTCCGTGTCTGCGGGGGCAGTGGGTAGTGAGATGGGGCACGGGGCTGTGGGGCTGCCACATCCCACCCCCCTCCCTGCGCTCAGCCTAACGCATGGCTCGATGGAGCCGCTTGCCTCGCCCGTTAGGCCGGGGAGGGATGGCTGAAGATCCCCCTGTGCCAAGTTGCCCATGTGAAACCCACCCTGCCCAGCCCCGCAGCCATTGCGCTCGGCTCCCCTATGGTGCCCACTGCCAGAATGGGCATTGCAAGCCCCACACTGCCAAGTGCTCAACCCGTTGGTCTGCCTCGTGCAGACCCATCTGCCCCTATCCTGGGCAGCTCCTGCCTCCACTGCACACAGCAGCTTCAGGCACTGGGCACCTTCATGGCAGGGAGCCGGCCCTCTTCAATGAGGCCTTTGTTGGGGAAAGCAGGCGTGGGAGGCTCCAGCCCAGGTTTTTCCATGTTCCTCCAGCTAGAGTTAATTAAAGTGGAAGCCAAAGAGCACTGACACAGGCACTGAGCAGGGCTGCAGGGAGGACGCAGCCTTCTACAGCAGAACGGGGGATGAAGGAGGAGCAAGATCTTGCCTCTCACCCTGCACCCCACAGCACCGCCCTGGTGCAACGACTCAGCATAGAGCCAAAGGGACTGAGGAGCACAGATCCCAGGAGCTGGCACAGAGTCCCAAGAGCCCAGGTGGCTGCAGTGCCAACAGTGTTTATGAGGTGCCCCCATTGCCAGGTGCTGCCCGCCCCATGCACGGCTCCTTGGCTGGCAGCCACCATCCAACAGCCCAGGCAGCTTTTGTAATATTTTCATTGCATCATAACTGGCCCCACGGCTGGGCTGGAGCTGCTTCATAATCCCCTCTCTTCTTTAATACATGCTCAGGGACCCAGCTCAGCCCAGAGGAGAACTTGAGCCTTGCTACAGTGGATGAATGGGATCTTTCATAGCCAGAGAGGAAAACAGCGCCCAAGGCCCCCGAGCCGACCAGCACACACTCTGCCCTCCCAGCCCACCACCATCCAACTGGAGAGCTGCAAGGAGCTCAGGGGCTCAGCTGCACCCCATGGAGCTGCAGGGCAAGGGGCAGCCGTGCAGGCTGTGGCCAGGACTCAAGGACAGTCACTGTGGCTCCCTGAGTCCGATGAGGGGTGACCAAGATGGCATGCAGACATGTCCCACAGAGAGCCTGAAGCAAAGCTCAAGGGAGCCCCACTCTTCCCTCAAGCCTGTGATGGATTCGTCCCCAGCACCATTCCAAAGAGTGAACCAGGCACCCCAAGGGCTCTGCCCTGCCCTGCCATGCACGGGGAGCAGTGCCCAGCACGGTCCCTGCCGCACAGGAGCCACTCAGACTGGGATTGCAGTGCAGGGCAGCACACAGTGTACAGCTGGGGCTGCCAGCAGAGCTGTCGGCCCAGGACACAGTGTTCTTTCCTAGCAGACACCTCCTGATGAGGAAGAGGAGGACGCTGGGGGTGGCAGTGGAGTGCTGGGGAAACAATCCTGCCCTGTCCCAGGGCCAGGAGATGGCTGTTAGCATGCCCAACAGGGCTAACTGCAGAGCTGGGGCCAGATGGAGGTGAGGAGGAGGGTGCAGAGGTTCACCGAAGTGTGAGGCAATGCCCAGCTGGAGCAGTGCCCATGGCACTCCTGTGCTGCTCACCTCAGCCAGAGGGTCCCAGCAGCATCAATCAGTGAAAGACTACATTGGGCAGAGCTGAGTCACATCCAGGAAGGGGGGCACCCAGGGATATCTGCAGAGGTGCTCAGTGGGAATGGTTCAGGTGCTGGGCACTCAAAGCCCTGAAGACGCAGCCCCTCCATCCACACAGGAATCCAAGAGCACCCCCTTCTTCTCCCAGTGATCCTGCACGAGCACAAGCACCTGCTCCATTCCCAAACCCCCAGATCCCCGTCAAGCAACCCCCCACTCAGCTCTCAGCCTCCCACCAGCATAGGATCCAGGGCAGATTTCTGGTGGCATGGCAGCACCAACCACATGGGGCGGCTCCTGCAACCTTCCAGAAGGGTCCCCACTGAAAAACTATGCATTGGCAACATATTTACAGCTAATCCCACTCTGGGCCTCTGGTTTCCTCCCTGTTTCCTCCTTTTCCCCAACCCTCAGCATCTAACAGAAATAGTCTCAAATCTAAAGCTGGAAAGCATAAACAGGTCACGGCGGGTCTGTGGGATGCAGGGACAGACAGCACTGCACAGGCTGTGGGCAGCGGGGACAAAGAGGTCCCCAGGGGGTCTTACAGGAAGGCAGAGAAAAGGCACTGGGCAACCTGGCGGTGAGGCAGGGCTGGGACAAGAGCCGAGATTTGGGTCTGGGAGGCACCACGGAGGCTGGATGAGGCTCCTGGGACCGGAACTGCATTCAGGGCTGAGGTTAGGTGTTCATTTATATTTTAAAGGCAATAAAAGGAGAACTGTGAAAGACAAGGGACAAAGCTATTTTTAAAAGGGCAGAACCACAACCATTTTTATTTGCGGTTCCAAATCCTGTATTTGTGTCACAGTGTCTGATTCTTTGCACGATTGCTGAAAAAAAACAAGCTTTGACAGCTTATGTGCTGCCAGACTTTCATTTGGATGTGCACTTGGGGACGAGATACACTGAATAAAGAGCAGAGGGGGACGCTTTGGAGCTGTCTTTGCTCCAGCCAGAGGGTGTTGCTCTCATCCCCAGGGACCTGAATGTCACTGGCACACGGTGCCAGCCCAGCTGCAAGCAGAACTCAGAACACAGGCAGAGCCCCTGCTGCAGGGCAGGTGCTGGGGACTGCAATCCAATCCCCACAGACACCCTGGTTAGGGACACTGGGCATGCAAAGGGACGCAGCCCAGCTCAGAGCACTCAAGTACCAAGCTGTGCTGTTAGCTTCGGGATCTGGCATGGCTGTGACTGGGCCACAGTGGGGCACACAGGCTGGGCATGCAGGGTCATGAGGCAGCCAGGTGGGATGCGCTGGGCATGAGTGGCTCTTCTGGAGGAAGTCACTTCCACCAGAGATGCTGCCCTCACCAGCACAGAGCTGTGGCTTCTGGCACTGCAGGGCACACCCAGGAGCTCAGAGGTCCTACAAGGGAATGCGGGCATAGCAAAAGAGGAGTTCTGAGTGGCTCTGGGCTCTCTGAAGCAGTCGCCCCATCTCACAATACTGAGGAGAACCACATCCTCCTCTCACAGGCTGTAGTCACCCCTCCAAAGTCATGCACCATTATCTAAAGGATCTCTTCTTGCATTACTGGGCTGCAGCCATCCCATGCGGCCGCACCAAGGCTTTAGGAACAAGACAACAAACTTGCAAGACATGTTTTTCTCAGTAAACAAGGACTTGGACCTTCCGGCTGCAGCAGCCTCCCCCGGGGCAAGAATCTGTTGGAGACTTTGGACTTCACCAAAGCCCCTCCCTGGGGGCTGCAAGGAGAAATCTGGAGCCCCACTACCGGGCTCTGCTCGCTCAGCCTTACTGCCACAGGCAGGATTGCTCCCAGCATGTGCAGAAGGGGAGGAGGCATCACAGGAGCAGTACCTCTACGACTGTCCTCAGCTGCCTAGCATCGCATCCTGCTGTTGGGGAGCAGTGGGGGAGGAGATTGGGAAGCTGAGACACATGGGGAGCCATAGGTCCAGATGCTGTTAGCAGACAGCACCTGGAAGCATCATAGACACCACATGTGGGTGGCCCACAGGCACCACTTCAACCAAGGACAAGCAGTTGACAAGCAGTAAGGACATGCTGTACCCCGAACCTTTTCGCACCCAGCCCCCGGCTACCTGGAGCACGTGCCCCAGAGCATTCTGAGAGCTATCGAAGCACACCTCCAAGCCAGCTCCGGCACTGAGACAGCTCCCCTACGGTCTGCCCTTCCAAAGGGCGATCTGTGAGCTAATGAACACCCAAAAAGTAGTGGGGTGCAGCACAGATTTTCCCCCAAGCAGGGCTGGCGCTGCGGGCAGGGGCTGCAGGCACTCCATGAACGTTCTGACTGCTCTGTAGCTCAGGCAGTGACACAGCAACGGGAAAACAGCGTGCGACGGTGGGACGGCCGATGAGCACGGAGCCAAGCACGGAGCCGAGTCCCGGGGCAGCGATAGCGCACGAGGAGTCCAAACCTCCCCCACGTTTCTGGCCCCACTGCTGCAGCGGAGAGTGCTGAGTGCGTTGCGGAGGCACCGGGGGTCCCTGCCTCCCTGAGTCCCCCTACCCGGGCTGTGCCATTCCAAGCTGTGCCGTGCCGTGCCGCAGGTGCGCACCCTGCCCTCGTACCTGCAGCTCGCACCACGCCACCTCCACTGTTGTCTCCGTGTCCAGCCCCTTGTAGACGGTTTTGAAGGAGCCCCGGCCAATCTCGATGTCGAACTTGAGGAATCGGCCGTCGGGAGAAGTGGCCACGGCGCGCGTCTCCACCTCCTCGCTCTCCGTCTCCTCCGGCTCACGGTGAGCCGCGGTGCCCGGCGGCGGCGGTGACCCCACGCTCGGCCCCGGGTAGCCCAGCAGCTCCAGTTCCACCGAACTCCGCCGGTTGAAGCGGGAGGAAGCGCGGCGGGAGTCTCGTCCCGAGGGCCTCCGGCCGCGGTTACGGTGCGGTGCCCTACCGGGGAGCCCCGGGTCCACCGCGGAGCCGCCGCCTGCCCGCTCCGCCTCGGGCTGGGACATGGTTCCAGCGGCGGCGAGTTCGACGGTCAGCATCGACTCCCGCAGCTTCGCACCCCGCACCGCCGCCCTGCAAACAGGAGCGCCCCGAGCCCCGGCACGGGCCCCGGCACCGGCGTGGCCACGCCCAGCGGCACCGGACCCTCCCCGGCACGGCGCCGCCTCCGCGAGGCCACCGCCCCCCAGACCCCGCTGCTCAGGCGGCTCCGGCACCAGGAAGGGCACCGGGGTGGGCATTGGCAGCGTCGAGGGAAGCGGAGCGAGCGCTGGCGTAGGCACGGGGCCAAGCATCAGGGAGAGCACCGGGACGCTCACCTGGATGTGGGCTGGGAGCCGAGAGGCATCAGGTCCTGGGGTGGGCACCGGGCACCAGAACGGACAGCGGAGCGAGCAGTGGGACGGGCACGCGCACCGCCAGCCCCAGGAGCTCCCCCGGACAGTGCCCACCTCGACCCCAAACCCCGTGTCTGGGCAGGGCTGGGGTGATCCCACCCTCCCTCGCTCCAGCAGCGATGGGTCCACGCAGGGTCGCCATGAGCAAACCGGGCCAGATGATGCAGGGCCAAATCGGTCTGTGGGCAAGTGTTTGCCTCAGCCGCTCTCAGAGCTGTAGCTGTGAAGTTTCAGAGCAGTGTCTGTGTCTGAAGCTTCTCCCGTCCTGGGCACTGCCGTGCTATTGAATCCTGCACTCCGAGACAGCCGTTGCTCTCAGGGTTTACTACTGGGTGCGCTCCTGAAATGAGGGTCACACAAATATAAAATATGCATGTGTCCTTCAGCTGCACGCTCACTAGGAGCCTGCACAAAAGCTTGTTGTCTCTACAGTGTAAATGATGAGGTTGTTCTACCCTGTAAAGTTGTTTACACAAAATACAAAGCAATCGATTCTTGCTTTAATTTCTTTTCCCTAAGGTCAGATTGTTTCTACTCAGCAATACAGGAAACATTAAGGGGAGGACTGAAATGTTAACACAGCCATGTCCTTTGCACAGATTTAAAGTGCAAACGCGGTGCATCAAACATGGTGCATGCAGGATCCAGCTGCTCTCACCCACAGCCACGCAAATCCCCCAGTCCAGCTGGATGCATGGAGAAGCATCTATTGAAATGTTTCCACAGAAGTCCTGGGCAGGCTGCACAGCCCACTGCTCACAGGCAGACCTCTGTACCTGCACAGTGCCCCATCCACTCAGCCCTGTTCACCTAGGAAGAGGACTGGATGAAATCTCCAGGAAGGGAAAATTGGTCTGCATCTCCACACGCTTGCAGAACACTCTTGCAGTACAGGCTGGCAGAAAGCAGTGATTGCACTCTGATCCAGCCTTGCACTCAGGAGTGTATCCAGGGCCCCTTTCTGGGAGAACACACCCTGGAGGCTGCAGGATGTGCTTGGTGCACATACCCTGTGCCAGGCAGCAGCATCTTTCCAGCAATGGCTGCCAAGGATGGCAGATGAGCTGCCACGGGCAGCACTGCACCGTACCAGGTATGGGAGACTTTTGTGTTGTAAAATATGATTCAATTCCACCAAACAACACCTACAGTTCAGATGCACCATACCCAGCGATGGTCCTGAACTGTGCCCAGTGTTTCTCAGGCCCAGCAAGCGGTGCAGCCCTGAAGTGCTTCCAGCCCCAGTCGAGGCCCTGCCAGGTCACTGGGATGCGGCGAAGGCTGGCAGGCAGCCTGTGCTCTTCAGCAAGGGTACAACATGCAGAGCCAGGCAGGGCTCTTGGTCTCATTTCCAGTAGGGTCATGTCCCTTTATCGTGTTTTCATCATGAAATGAGATGCCTTGAAATGTCCCAGAGGAGCAGGGAATGAGCGTCCCAGGTGAGGCTCCTGCAGAGAGGAAATTGGGCATGAGGCTGCCTTTATATTTTCCTCCCACACCTCTGCAATGAGCATTGGAAGCATTTCCTCTTCCCTGCAGCTGCAGGAGCACCATGGGCTGAGCAGTAGCAGGTGACCTTGCAAAGAGGTGCAAGTGCCCTCCAACACATCCCAGGACACCACGCTGCAGCTGGGCCAGTGCAGAAAGCAGGAGGTTCCCGTCCACAGTCAGCCCCTTCTCAGTGCTCAGCAAACACATGCAGCTCCTGCACGTTATCAGGGTGACATTTCTCCTGGCTCCGGGTGTTGGTGCCAGGCCTGTGCTTTGGGCAGCTGCTGCAATCAGGTCATTCAGCATTTCCACGTGCATTTGGCTGCTGGGAAAAGAGCAGGGGACTGCAATATCTCTGCTCAGGATTAGATTGCTCATCGAAGAACAATTCCAGCAAGATGTGCCAGAATTTCTCTGTTCCGAGCCCAAAACTCAGGATGGGATAACAGAGGGGCTGGGGCCAAATGTAGTGCGTGCCTGCAAGGGCTGTAGCAGGAGCTGAGCAGCCCCCCAGGAGGGGCTGAGAGAAGGAGTGCTGGAGGGAATGTTTCCTGTTGGCTTCAGCACCCCACACCTGCAGGGACCTCCTTTTCAGCTCAGTGTGCCCCATACCCTATGGCACAGACCCGCAGGAAGAGACAGCACTGCAACCTCAGCAGCTGCAGCCCCAGGCAGATAACTGCTGAGGATTTCCTTAGCCCAGAGTCACAGATCTGACCTGCATGCACATTCATCCCAACTCATAAATTTATCAACCTGAAGCAACTCCTGCTTCTAACTAGCTGCATGAAATTAAATACCCTCTCAACTTGTTCCCTCCCACGAACACCAGAACCCAAATGTGCACAGCCCGATAGCACCTTATCTCAGCACCAGCCCCCCATGCTCCACCTTGCCCCAGCCCATGAGCCCTAATCAGCACATCCAGACGTTGGCTGTGACCTCAAAGCCCAGAGATGGGGACCCGCATGGCTCTACTGCCACGGCCCCACAATCTGCTGAAGTCACATGGATTGGCTGCTGCTACTTCCCAGCCCTGGGATGCAGAATTTGCTCTGCAAGGCTCTGGGCAGCATTGCTGATGGAACTCAGGGCACTCTCTGCAGCAGTGCAGACCACAACACCCTGTCTGCATCAGCAGCTCACAGGGGTGGCTGCAGCAGTGGGCACAGGGGAGGCTGCCTGAGACAGCATCTGTTGTGCATGGCAACGAACACATCTCCTGTTCTTTGCCTTGTTCTGGCATTATCTATAGCCCTGATATCATGCACACTGAACACGGGGAGGAACTGCCCTGGGTACAGGGAAAGTCATAGTTGGAGGCCATCTTTAGAGTTTAATTACATCTCCTTCAGATCTACCCAGCACCCCAGGGCTTCCAATCCAGCGCAGCTCTCACGTAAGCACCTCTGAGCAATGCAATGCTCTGGCGTCCCGATCTTGTGATGACATCACTAAGTGCTATAAAGCAGCGAATAAAGATAGGAACGACGGTTTCAGAGGTATAAAGTCTTTGTTTTTACCATAAGCTACAGCTTGCCATTGTCACCGTTGTATAAACAGGGAACAGCAAACAAGCACTCAGCATAGCTGTACCGGTGAGCTGCTCATGCAGCCCCACAGCCCTCCTATACCCAGGGGCAGCCAGGTAACCCCAACATAAAGCAGTGCTTCTGTGCACCTCATCTCTGCTGAATGCACAGCCCCAGCAAACCAGCAGAGAACATGAGCAGCTGCCTGTCCCAGGACGGGACAAGGGGGAAGCACACTCTTCCTCCTCACCTCACTAAGCAAGCGATTTAGGAAACCGATGAAAAGCCACGAATGACTGCCAGGAGAGCTTTGGAAAGAAAAGGGCTTGTTTTAGACTTATCTAATGTCACATCAGCCATTTCCTAAGAAGGGAGTAAATTTAATTAAGAACACAGACCCACTCAAGGACAGCGAGGTTACACTCAGCAAATGCAGCTCGGAACAATGCTGAGAGGTCAGTACCGCGTGTACGCAGAGCCAGAAACGCAAACATCCTGGGCCTGCTGGAGAGTCGTCATCCAGGGCCAAATGCAGATGCCACTGAACATGGAGTGGAAGGCACAGAAACACGCTGCAGGGCTGCAAGAGCAGCGAGCAGAGAAGGCGCAGCATGAGAGAGTGAAAATTAAGACAGGCAGCACGGAGAGAGAGAAAGAGGCAGCTCCCAGACAGCAAAATAAGGCCCTAAGAGATGCTGTTAGCAGCCAATTCCTTCATGAAGATTTTCCTGGCCATTCTGAGCCACAAACATGCAGACAGGCCCACAGTTCAAGCAGTGAACCCCAGTTCCCGTGCTCTGCTGGCACAGGAATTGCTCTGCAGCATTGGTGTCACTGGCACACAGAGATCTGTCACCAGCCTTCCAACACAGGCCTCCAGCTCCCACAGGTTAGAGATTAAGGATTTACCAGGTCAAATATTGTACTGGATCACAGTTTCAACAAGCTGTGGACTTTATAATCAGTACTGAGAATGTAAAACTTAATTACGTTCTCCACCAGCCTGCTGTTTTAGAGCTTACCCCATCACCACTGCAACAAACACATTAGTTTTCAGTGGATTGCACACAGAAAATGAAAGCTAATGTTGCCCTGAAGACAGGTAGTAAAAGCCCACAGTCTGCAGCTCTGGCACGTGGAAAAAAGCCTTTGTGGTTCCTGCTTCCCAATCAGGCAGGGTGCCTTTGGAGGTCCACCCTCTCCCCAGTACACTGTGTTTGTACAGCGCAGTAAGGAAACGAAGCTGAAGGGCAAGAATTCAGTACATTGTACTGTTTTGTTTCTGATGGAAAAACAAAGATAGATGAAAACACCCAGGCTGCTCTATAAATACATCTCATTTTAATTACTTCAGATTAGCTCCTTGAAATCCACCCCACCACACAGATCAGCCTGCTTTCCAGCAAGAGCGTATCAGTCTTTCAGAGAGGTCTTTTACGCCACAGCAGCAGCAACGTGTTCTGTGTGTTTGCTTTCATCTCAGCCACGTGGTGAGGGCTGCAGAGCCCAGGCACACAGCTGGAAGGTGGGAGGAGAGCCCCTGGGCAGCTGTGCCGGACCAGCCACCAGAGCACCCACCCGCTGCATTCACAGGAGCAGGGAAAAGAGCAACAGGACAAGAAGTCGTGTCTTTGGAAGGCTTTACAGAATTCTCTTCACCCCAGGAAGTCCCGAGTACACAGCTGCTTGCGCCACTGCTTGAAACCAGGCCAGGAGATGGAATCTTCGCAGCCAGAAACGTTTCAGAGGCCAAAGAAAGGCAGGGAGGGGGGCTTCCATCAGAAGAACTTGACGCCTCGGCCATCGTCCAGCGTGATGATTTCAGCCTTGTGCTCCTGCTGCAAGGCTTGCAGGGCACGAAGTAGCATAGCCTCATCCAAACCATGGAACTCTAGGGAAGGAAAGACATACTCATCAGC